CGACATGACACGCCGACACGTAAATTTTAAAAAATATCATATTTTGACACGTTGGAACACGTTTTGATATTAAATAATATTTTTAATATATATAATATAATTTATATTTAATACATATAACAGCCCATAATAAATCATATAACCAATCAAATTTTCAAATTTTATAACATAAATATAAACAAAAATAATTTTTCGTACCTTGTTAATTTTTCATGTCAAATTTCATAACAAAAAAAATTAATTTAGAAATTATTTTTTCATGTTTAGCTAATAAAATAAAATTTAGCTTTAAAAAAAAATAAAACTTGTCAGATGCGTGTCGAAACATTGATCGCGTGTCGAAAAAAGTTGACTGCGTATTGAAAAAATGTGTCAGAGCATTGACCGCGTGTCCTAAAATATTGACTGCGTGTCGGAGCGTATCCGACACGGACACATGTCCGACACGCCTTTTTTTTCAGAATAATGTGTGTCCGTGCATAGCAGTGATATGTAACAGCCCAAAACCCTGTAGCATGATATTGTCCGCTTTGCCCCGCGCACAAGCACCGTCGAGCTCACGGTTTTGTTTCTTGGGACACCCCACAAAAGACCTCACACTAGAAGAGGTATCCACACCCTTATAAGGCATGCTTCGTTCCCCTCTCCAACCGATGTGGGACATTACATCCTCCCCCACTGGGAATACAGCGTCCCCGCTGTACACACCGGTCCAGGGCCAGGCTCTGATACCATATGTATAATGACCCTAAATGGTAAATCTTAATTAGAGATTTAATTTAAGGATTTAAATGCCATAATTAGATTCAGTGAATGATTCCGAGTATTTTGACTGTAATCATGACTATGGTATGAACAGTGCGTTCTACCGGAGAATTTACAGTTATGTGAATTAACCGGTAGAGCTTAAAAGAGCAAAATAATTTTAGAGACATAATTTGATAATTCTGACGACAAATATGAGTTCAGAACGAAAAATTGTATAGTCTGGCACTTTCCGTGAAAATCTCGTGAATAGTGTTTCTACCGGGTATTTTGTACTGCTGTTTAAGCAACCGGTAGAGTCCAGAAATAAATAATTGATGAAATAAGAATAAGGAAGTCCAATATATGCCAAGCAAGTCAATATAGGCCCAAGAAAATGATAAGTTTATAAGTTTTAAGTTTCATAAGTAAATGAAGTACAATTAGTGATTCACAGTGCATTTCGTCAAAAATGGTGCAAAAATCATACTGTGAATTATGAATATTGTTTTGTAAGAATTAAAAAGTAATGTAAATGATTTTAGAAAAATAAAAATATGTCAGTAGCTTTAAGTTGGTTCCGGGTCAATTCAAGTAAAAATACGCGATAGAAAAACATCCGATAAAGCCACAAGTATTTATAAAACATAAGTGGCTTACAAAAATCACTATTCACATTTAAAAAAACTGCTCTCTTCTCTCTCTTCTACCCGAGGATCAGCCATGGGAAGGGATTGGGTTTGCTTTGTTTCATTTCTTGATTTCTCCATAAATCCTACACTAAATCATTGACCCATTATACCAATTCCATAGGAAATCACCTAAGGAAGCCATTCCACCCCTCCATTTGAGCTGATTTCGTTTGTGGAGGGAGATATTCATCACCCCATTTTCGTGCACTATTCATCCAAGGTGGAAAAAGTGAGTTTTTGATGGAGCTTGGCTTGGAGGTTGCTTTCTAGGCTTTGGGAAGTTGATTAGTGGTAAGAAACCTTTGTTTCCATGATGTTATTTTGATGGTTTGTGTCATAGAAATTGTGAGCATGTGTTGGTGTGAAATAAATTAGTTTAAAATTTGAATTGATGATGGATTGATGATGTGTTGGATATAGGAATGTGGAATAAGCATATGAACATGTATAAAAATTGGAAAAAAAATCCCATGGTGACATACCCTAGATTTCGGCCTTGATAGGGTAATTAGGGGTGATGCACAAAGATTTATTGTATGTATTGGGAAGATTTAATGTGCTTGAAAAAGAGGAAATTTGATGAGTTAGTAAGAATGTTAAATTTGAAAGAAAATCCTTTGAAACATACCCTTGATGTTTCGGCCTTGAAGGATTTAAAGAGCTTGAGATTCCCAAAAATTAAATAGGAACTTGGTATATATTATATATTTATGTACGTGTAGTTGTTAAATTAAGTGAGGAAAATGTATTGTAAAAGAGAAGGATCCTTGGAAATCCCCTTAAAGGATTCGACATATAGGGTGTTTAGGGAAAGATGTTGTCATATTTTATTTTAATAAAATATGTGTGTTTCAAAGTATGAAAATGATAAGTCATGAAATGAAATGGTTTGAAAAGAAATCATGGAAAAATATATTGATTTCCTAATTTTAGGCCCACGGTCCTTTAAAGTAAAATGCTATGATTTATGTTGGAAATTCGTAAGGAAATGGATGATTAAATTAAAGAACACCAACGGTTATAAAGAGGTCTAGACTTGTGTATTGGCATAGGATTGGCAAAAATGCAAAGAAATGAAAAGAAGCGATAAAATGTGTGCCTTATGTGAAAGCTAGGCATGATGGCATTTTATTAATTGGTATTTGTGGATTCTTGCTCTAGGTGTACCTAGGGACTAAAAAGGAATCAGAATCTCTTGAAGATATATAAGTAACTTGTGCAACAAGTAAGGGTATTGGTAAAGCTTCAAGAGGTAAGCTCTATGTTTAAGGAGTCTTTTCCTGCTTGAGTGCTCCACCATGGTTAGTGAACTATGGTTGGACTGTATGACTGTGATTTAGATGCTTTGTATAGATGCATTCATATAGAGTTATTTGATAACATGATATGTTTTGCTCTGATATGACTTCTGTAATATGATTTCTGTAACAATCTCTGGCCATTGATTGTATAGTACCCGGATGTCCGCTTTGGGGTCCTCCCTCGGGACTGATGGTGTACGCCTCTGATATGTCTGGTTCCGCTTTGGGGTCCTCCCTCGGGAACACGTGCGTTGATTTCCGCTTGGGGTCCTCCCTTGGGAATGACGGCCCACATCTCTGATATGATATGGATATATGCTCTGTTCTGTTATGATATCTGTTATATGTTGTATTTGTATACTCTGTATCTGACTTTCATGCAGGAGTGAGCCAGGGGTATGGAGAATTCTCTATAAACCTGGAGCTTACTGAGATTTGTAATCTCACCCCTCTTCGGGGACATATTTTCAGGTGCCCAGATTCCCGGTGAGTCCTCACTAGGCAGGGACACGACACGTGGTTGAGGCAGTTGACAGATCGGATTTTGAGTGGTTGTAGGCTACTACCTTTTGGAGTGTTTGATGTCTTTTAGTATTTCCGCATTTGATGGATCACGATATTGATCCTTTATTTTGTATATGGCCTGTATATGTTTTGTACATGTCTGTCACTTGGAGGCATGTACATTTGGGTATTCAGGCACGTTATATGATGATGTATTATTCAGTTTATGATTACATGTTGGATTGCATGCTATTAGATATAGTGGCACTGAGCCAAGTTATGCATGCGCCCATGGATGAGCATTTGATTATATTTGTATAAACTGTTTATCAGGAAATGCTTCTGAGTGGGATTGGAAAATCCCCAGTTGTCCGATTTATAGAGAAAACTCTGTCCGATTTTCGTTTACGACGAATGAGAATTTAAAAAGAAAAAGAAAAAGTTAGCTCATATTTTCGTAAGTTAAGTCTTCCGTTGTTTTCTGTTTTATCATATGTATGTTAATTGAACCGGCTCGAGACGGGGATGTTACAATATGTAATAGCCCAAAACCCTATAGCATGATATTGTCCGCTTTGCCCCGCGCACAAGCACCGTCGAGCTCACGGTTTTGTTTCTTGGGACACCCCACAAAAGGCCTCACACTAGAAGAGGTATCCACACCCTTATAAGGCATGTTTCGTTCCCCTCTCCAACTGATGTGGGACATTACATTGGTTATAACACTTAACTCTAGTATAAATAAGTTAGAAAAATGACCTAGTTAAAAATTATAAACAGACTTTGTGTTCATTAGGTCCAATCATCATAAAAATTAGAGTTATAATAACTAGGCACAATATCAATAAATGTCAAATGCTTAACTCATCATCATCGTCATCACAATGGATTAAAAAAAAATTGAAATTGAAATATTAATTAACACTATTAATTTAAGAGTAAATATATTTTTTGTCCATAACAAAAAATACGGTCTCCACTTTAGTTACTTATAAAAAACATTAGTATCGAGGTCCCTAAAAAATTCAAAGTGGGTTCATTTAGTTGAAATCGTGATCTCTCACAAATTCAAAAAAATTAATAATATTAGTCCCTCAAAAGGACTAAAATGGGTCTACTTTGAATTTGATAGGGACCAGCTGACTAATTTTTTTTGTAAGAGACTATAGTGGAGATCATATTTTTTTGTTAGGGATCTAAAAATATTTACTCTTAATTTAAAAATTTCTAAGATTCAAAACCAAAGTGGTCGTAAAGAGCCGGCAAAACGGGCTCAGCTCGGCGGACCAATCCGCCCAACCTGCTAAACGGGGCGGGGCGTGCTGAGTTTTTCAACTCATCTCAAAAGCGGGGCGGGGCGGGATGAGACAGACTCATTTTTTGGCGAGTTGATAGCGGGTATAGACGGACCGAGGCGGGTCAGTGTAAAATAGATTCGGGCTGGCGGGCCAACCCGCCCAACGGGACGGGACGGGCTGAGTTTTTGAGCCCACTTTCAAAAACGGGGCGAAACTAACTAACTCATTTTTTGACAGATTGATGGCGGAGCAGGCGCCAACTTTGCCACCTCTTGTCGTAATCATACTTCTACTATTTTTTTCTATCGCTTGTTACTAATCCAATGCCCGAGACAGCGTTGACCGGTAAAATGCAAAAAATGCAACCATCCTTTGTTCCTGTAGTCCTGTTATGTTATCTTCTGTATAAATTCTAAGCCATTAAAAGGAAGGAAAGTGTGATAGTCCTTTGCATTCGCAATATGTCTTCTTCTTCCTTTGCCAAAAAGTACGATGTATTCATTAGCTTCAGGGGTGAGGACACCCGAACCAATTTCACTAGCCATCTTCATAGTGCTCTCTGCCACAGCAAAATCGAAGCATACATTGATTATAATCTTAAAAAAGGAGATGAGGTTGGGCCTGCACTTAACGAAGCAATCAGGGACTCACATATATCACTCATCGTTTTCTCGATAAACTATGCTACATCAAAGTGGTGCTTGGAAGAACTCCTCCAAATACTCGAGTGCAGAAAACATCAAGGACAGGTAGTTATACCTGTGTTCTATGAAACAGATCCATCGGATGTACGTCATCAGAAAGGGAGTTACGAGAAAGCGTTCGCAAAACATGAGAGAGATCTAAGGAACAATAAATTCTACCATGATAAAGTGTCTAAGTGGAAAGCTGCTCTCACTGTAGCCGCTAATATATCTGGATGGGACTCTCGTACCCATAGGTAACTATTATATATATGTTCTTATTTTATACAAGTAATTTTCTGAAACAATATATACTGAATATGTGATGAACATGACAATTCTAATTGATGGTATAGATTAGACTTCCCGCATATATAGAGTGGTTTAAGTTCCCACTCCAAACAACGGTATATATGCTTTTCTTTTCTATCCCAATCTACTATATATTATTAATCATCCCATCCCATAATATATGGTCTGCTGCATAAATTCCAACTTTCATAAATTTTGTTTGTTTAATTTACCCTGATTTTCACGAAGTCGTCTCTCATGTTGAAAAGAAATTGATAGAGATCTGATGGTTGATTCATTCTCAATTTCAATGACTTCCTGCATAACAATAAGCTCCACTTTTTAAATGACTATAAAACCAGCAATTTATTTTAATTTAAATTTCAAAATAGCAAGGTCAGACATGTTATGCAAACACCAAAAGCCTGTAGAAGCAATAAAAATGAGTATGATGACGAATTTGCCCAAGAGAGAATGATCACAGAGGCGATATAGGAGAGATGAGTGGCCATGAGTAAAAGCACCGGCACTAAATTGAATTATTCCTTTAGAATTGTTTATTCTTTATTTCTTATTTTTTATTTTATTTTATTTTTGGCTAGGGATGATTCTGAAGTCATCCAAAACATTGTGAAAGATGTTTGGCAAAAGCTGTCCCTGATGTATCCTAATGAACTGAAAGGCCTTGTTGAAATTGATGAGAACAGTAAATCCATTGATTCATTACTCAATAAAGTTCCAAGAATTGGAATTTGGGGCATGGGTGGTATAGGTAAGACAACCATAGCTAGACACATGTTTGCCAAACACTTTCCACAATATGACAGTGTATGCTTCCTGGCAAATGTAAGAGAAGAATCAGAAAAGTTTGGACTAACATATACACGTGATAAGCTTCTCTTTGAGCTACTAAAGGAACCAATTACAACATCTCATGTTACTGGATCCACATTCATTAAGAGAAGGCTTAGCAGCAATAAAGTTTTCATTGTACTTGATGATGTGGATAGTTCTGCTCAATTAGAATATTTGTGTGATGAATTAGATGACCTTGAACATGATAGTAGACTCATTATAACAACAAGAAATAGGCATATGCTTAGTGGAAGAGTTGATGAGGTATATGAGGTCACTAAATGGGAGTTTCCAGAATCTGTAAAGCTTTTTAGCTTGGGAGCTTTCGAGCAAATTCGTCCTAAAGATGGTTTTGAGGATCTTTCAGAAAGGGCAGTTGCATATGCAGGAGGCATTCCATTAGCTTTAAAAGTATTGGGTTTACATTTTCATTCCAGAGATACTGAATTTTGGAAATGTGAATTGAATAAATTTGAGAGCAAGAAGGAATCCTTCAAGGAAATTCAAAACATGTTACAAGTAAGCTATAATGGATTACAAGAGCTACAACGGGAAATCTTTCTGGACATTGCATTCTTTTTCAAAGATGAAAATAAAGATGAAGTCGTAAGGATACTAGATGCGTGTGGTTTCTACCCTGCTAGTGGAATAAAAGTCCTTGAAGATAAAGCCCTTATAACTATTTCAAAGAGCAATAGAATACAAATGCATGACCTGCTACAAGAAATGGGTTTTGATATAGTTCGGAAAGAATTTAGCAGAGACCCAGGAAGACATAGCCGACTAAGGGATATTGAAGAAGTTTGTGATGTAATTAACAATAACAAGGTAAGAAAAAGAGCTGGCCTTTTTCTAAACATGATTTTAGATATAAATTATAGCTAATTTGCTACAGGTTTATTTAATTATTGCTTGTTTTGGCAGGGGACTGATGCAGTTGTAGGCATAACATTAGATTTGTCTCAAAAAGTAGATTTACACTTGAGAGCTGACACATTCAACATGATGACTAGTCTAAGATATCTTAAATTATATGTCCCATTGGGTAAGAAGAGGTCAACGACTGTGTACCCTCCTCATAAAGTTTTTATGTGGATGCATTATCGTTTGCCATTTTCGGATAAATTGAGGTACCTTGAATGGCATGGATACCCCTTGAAGTCTCTTCCACCACATTTTTGTGCTAAGCTGCTTGTTGAGATTCGCTTGCCACATAGCGATGTCAAATATCTTTGGCGCGACATGCAGGTGGGTGCATGTGTGTACGTTTATGATTTCGGTTTGAAATGAAATTTTATGATATTCCATTTTGACTTCTCATTTTTGAATTGTAACAGGAACTTGTGAATTTAGAAGGAATGGACCTAAGTGAATGCAAGCAGTTAATAAAGCTCCCAGATTTGTCTGGCGCTTCAAAACTTAAATGGCTGTATCTCTCTGGCTGTGAAAGTTTACGCCATGTTCACCCATCTGTTTTTTCTAACGACACACTTGTTACCTTGCTATTGGATAGGTGCACAAAACTGAAAAGCCTTATATGTGAGAAGCATTTAAGATCTCTGGAGAAGATCAGTGTCAACGGCTGCTCAAGTCTGAAGGAAATTTCATTGTCCTCGGATTCAATTGAAAGGTTGAATTTAAGCAACGCAGGAATCGAAATATTGCACCCATCAATCGGTCGTCTAAGAAAGCTTGTGTGGCTCAACCTAGAAGGTTTAAGACTTGAAAATCTTCCAAATGAGTTGTCTTGCCTGACATCACTTACTGAGCTTTGGATTTCAAAATGCAGCATAGTAATTAAAGACAAGTTACATGTGCTATTTGGCGGCCTTCGATCTTTACAAATACTATATTTGAAAGACTGTCTTAATTTGTTTGCACTCCCTGACAATATCAGTGACTTATTATCATTATACGAATTAAGACTAGATGGAAGCAGTGTGATGAGTTTACCTTCAAGTATCAAGGATCTCTCAGGGCTAGAAATTCTGTCCTTAGAGAATTGCACGGAGCTTTGGCATCTGCCAGAGCTTCCTGAAAACATAAAGGAGTTTTATGCAGATAACTGCACATCATTGATGACAGTATCCACTTTAGGGACATTTTCAGAAAAAATGAACGGAAGGGAGAAATACATTTCTTTCAAGAATGTTATGAGATTGGATGAATCATCACTCGACCTTTTTATGGAAGGTGCACTATCAACAATGAAGATTGCTGCAATACACAATGTACAATTAAGAACAAGCGTTGTGCGAAACCAAAGCTACAGTTATTATAGCAGTGTTGAGGTTTGTTTACCAGGAAGCAGCGTCCCACGGTACTTTCGTTACCAAACAACAGGTTCATCAACCAGAACTACTGGAGTTCTTATCCGTTCCTACTCGTTGGGATTCATTTTCGCGGTCGTTGTTTCTCCATCCTATGGTAATGGTGCTAAAATCCAATGTCAAAGCTACTCTAAAGATGGAAGAAAGGTGGGATATGCATCTACATGGCATAATAAAACTGCTATGAATATGAAGTACGATCATGTTTATGTATGGTATGATCCGTTCCATTTTGACAGCATTCTCGGCAGTGATGAAAAAATGGTTTCTTTTGAATTCAGTGTTACAACTGATACTGGGGAACGCCATGGCTTGTTCGGTCCAAACAAATGTGGGGTCCGTCACTTATATTCATACTAGAGTAAACGCTCTTTTTAGTCACTGGCAATATCTACGAATTTTCAGTCCCTGGCAATAAAAAAAGACCAAATTGGTTACAAGAAAAGGGCCACTCTACATATTTGGGAGTTGAGATAAGGACTAACATGGTCCTTTTTTGTAATTTCAGGGACCAATTTGGTCATTTTTTATTGCCAGGGACTAAAAAGGACTTCGTAGATATTGACAGGGACTAAAAAGGGTGTTTACTCTTCATACTATAATTATCGGCAAAAAAATTAATTTATTGCAAATTAAATAAAAAATTATAAATTCATTGTTGTTTTCAAATTATTTATGAGTCTATTGCAGGATATCACGTCCAATGTAGATGTCATACTCCATAAAAAAACACACCTAAAAGGCATCATAAAAGTACGCTTAAAAAAAGCATAACCCAAGCATTAGTCACGCCTATAAGAAGCGTGACCTTGTTAGTTGCGAAACAAAACGAAAAGCGATATGTGATTTCATTTAATGTCATATAAAATACCACAATACATGGTGCCAAAAGTTCTCCACCACTTTGTGTATTAAGTCGTTGAATAAACAAAGGTTAATATGTTACCTCACTTGGCATTAAACGGACAAGTCCAAAAAAGAGATATGGAGAGTTAAAAGTGAGGAACCATTTTTTCCACCCACAGCAAGTTGACAGAGGTTGCATAATCACGTTCTTGGAAAGTTTGAGAGGTTGCAAATCCAAATCCAAATATGGTGGGATTTTTTTTTATCTTTAACAAGTTAAAAAAAAAATATTTGGTAGGTTAAAATTTTTGTTGGGAATATTGAGTTATTTTTATAATGCTATGTTTGGTTAGTTATGAAATATATGTTGGAATGTGGAATGAGATTACAAAATTATCCACCATATTTGAAAATTTGTTTTAAACGTTCTTTTTACAATAGGATGTCTCCGTCTTGGTTTGTTAAACAAGATGACATGTTCTTTAAACAAGTTTAACCTACTAAATATTTTTTTGTAACTCGTTTGAGATAAAAAAAACCTGCTATAATCTAGGTAACTTTTTTTTTTCTCGATAAAAAAAATATCCCCCGTACCAAATGCCCCTAAGATTTAAATGTAGTAATTTACACTGGGAAGCTGGATTTCACTACCAAATCTAAAAGAAAAAAAAAAACGTAAAAACAGTTAAAAAAAAAAAAAGGAGGAAGACGATTTTTTTTTTTAGAAGAATATACGATATTTATCAGAAGAAGATTTGAGAGGTTTCTGATCTATGCTTCATTCCTTTGATATTATGTTGTATAACATTTCAAAGATGCCATTTATTTGGAGAGAATTTATGGTGAACCGGGACCACTATTTTTTAAGTGGTCTTTTAGTGTAAATAGGAGGGTAAAATTAGAAAAGAAAAAAAATAACAGGGGTAAAAAAAGAAAGAAAAAATTAGTGTTGTAAGAGAGAGCACCAAATTATTAAGTGATTTTGGAGCATAATAAATATTTTCCTTTATTTGATACTCGTCCGAGAGTGAGACACATTGCCTTGGCTTAATTTTATGGATTTTATTAATGTTATGTTACATAACATAAGTTTAGTTTCCAGCACACATAATAATAGAGAGAGATAAAGTGAAATGATGAAAGAGAAAGAAAAATATGTGGATCCAACATCCTTAACGTGTGTGTAAGAAAATGAAGTTATATTATGTAAAATAATAAACATAAAATCTTAATTTTATATGACATTATATGACATCACAGACTGCTTTTCGTTTTGTTTTGCAACTAACAAGGTCACCCCTCAGGCTGATTGATGCTTGGGTTATTTTTCAGGTGTTTTTATGACGTCTTTTTTAAGCATAACCTTACATTGGGAGTGAATAGTCACGTTCAATCGAGAAGTGACATCTTGCAATACACTCGTAAATAATTTAAAAACAACAATAAATTCGTATTTTTTTATTTAATTTGCAATAAATTACTTTTTTTTGCCGATAATCATCTCAAGTTTTGTTTAATATGATATGGTCACATAAAAACTAATGATAATGATTTTATAATTATTTATTCAAATATTTTTATTTTTGTATAATTATAATTTTTTTTATATGATGTTAAATATGATATGAGAAAATCCACTCCATCAACTGTAACTAAAATAATAAAAAAGAAACAAGTTGGAGATCTTTCAAATATCTTTTGTATAGAATGCAAGCCGACAGAACTTTTGATCTATAATATTCTTAGGGCCCGTTTGGATGGATTTTTTTTTTCTCCAAAAGCTATTTTTTTCTTCAAAAAAAAATACTTCTCGTTTTTAGTTTGTTTGGATATTTGCTTTTAAAAAAAACAGAAGTCACTAAAAAAATTAAAAATCTACTTTTTTCAGAAGCTAAAAATTTTAATTTTTAAAAAAAGCAGAGGTCAAAAACCCAATATTTTTTTCAAAAGTTAAATATTTTTATAATAATATAAATAGCTTTAACTTTTATAAAAAATACTTCTAAAATAAAGAAGAGATAGAAATTACTTTCAAAAAAGTCCAAACAAACAGGCTGTTAATCTACAAAAGTTTAGTAAGAATTGGTCTAGCAGCGTACGGTCTTATGAATTTATGGGAAACAAGTTGGGGATCTTTCAAATATTTTTTTCCTCGAATAATAGCTTACTACTTAAATCCTTGTATTTTTATGAAAACAGTTAGTAAAAAAGGCTGCGACCCTTGCATTTCCTATCATTAATAAACTAGAAGCTTGAAATTTAAGATGAACAACATCCTTGAAGATTTAATTTTGGAGAGTTGTACGAAAACGTCCTTAAGAGTGTCTGGTCAAAACGTGCCGGGGAAAATTTCTTGTGAATACTTACGATATCTAAGGTGGAAACAACGAGTCTCACACGGATGTGTATATGCCCTACGATACCTATTGATGCATGAGTATCTCGATATTGGATTATACGTACTTGATTAGTAAATCTTATGGAAACACATCTTAACCGTAACTTGAATATCACAATATCTGGCTTGCCTTTTGTCAAATATGAGCAGATACAGGAGGAAGACCATTGTCAGCAAAATGGTATGGTGCTCATAACTCAGTAACCCAACAAATTAGGGGACAAAACAACTCTCATTAAAGGACAAAAATTAAATACTCAAATATAACTAGCTCATTTCAGTGCATGCAATCATCATTGTAAAAGGGTTCTTGTCAGATGCTCTCTCGCTGTAGCCCATGCTTGAGTTAGTGTCTACAATATCAGAAACTCACTATTAGATTGAAGATCAAGTAACATGTCATTGTTATTCTAAAATTGAATCCATCAAAAGTTAAAACTGATTCAGAATTTTGCAAAAATGTCAGTTATATAACTGCCATCAAGGATAATGTAAGTTCCGAGGAACAATCTAGCCATCTTTGGTCTCTATGGAAAGTTTTTGTGCGTTTGTGTTGTAAAATCCAACAGAAAATACACAATACTGACAGAAACTAAGCTGCAATAGAGTTGCATTACCTGCTCTGACAAGGGGGCATCAGCATCCAAGTTATGGGAGGTCACTTTTTCAGCAATAACAGGTCCATTTGTTTCAAGTATAATCCTTCAAGAAAAAATGAACTATTAAAATAATAAATTAAACTTTTATGGAAAAGAAAATTTGTAGCTAAGACATATGCACACCCTCCATCAACAATCTCATCAACACATAAAAGAATGAGATCCAAGTTCTCAAGTGCCTCTCTTTTGTCAACATTGTTCCTGAAAAAGGCACACAAAGAAATAAACAAAGCAAAGCATGATGAGTAAAGGTGCATCTGGTTTTAAATCCAGATAGCAAAATACAACAAAAAATACCTCAACAGAAGCGTGACTGCATCAAAGAAACCTTGAAGAACTGATGCTAAAATGAGCTCATTTTCATCATCACCACCAGTGACAAAGAAATGCAGGTCTTGTACAAATTTGTAAATAATGATATTGTTCTCAAGCAGTGTTACCTCAGCTGTAGATATTGTAAACAAAATATCAGTTTCAAAAGAAACATGATAAACACAAGTGCTAACAAAAGTTTGTTCGTTTATGCAATAATAACAACAAATACCATCAGTAGTGTGGTAGGTTGAAAAGTATTTTTGATGGCTGCATTTTGATTGCACAAAAGGGAAACAGAAGAAACAGCAATCATGCTTAAGGCCGTTCCGCATGTTCCCATCATATGTTGGAAATCAGTAAAATGGACTACTCTTACCAACTAGTGACTGGTTAATTAACTTCTCAATCGTACTGTTTATCAATTAATAAAAATCAAAGGGACAAACTCAAATACTAATGTTTGGTGGTATGGCTGATCTGCATCAAAATTTTGATACTTTCAAACTCAAAAGGCTTTTTATAAGCATTATTCTTTTGGCTATACTATATGGGTGTTTAAGCATTGTCAGACAGGAATGCAGAACTGAAGTATAGAATAGCACAATCTCTTTCTAAACATGGTATGCTGCAGAAGAATGCTGGCTCGCCAGAATGTTTCAAAAGAATTCATTGAATTTTTGGTTTATTGATGCGAGACACCAACTGATATGACCATGCGAGACACAAGATCTACTTTCGTCCATGATATAGAAAAGAAGTCACAAAATCCCTTCAATTTATAATTTAGTCCAAGGTCCAACATATGACTTAATTTCTAATGAGGTTAAGAAATTCTGAAATGAAAGTAAATAGAATGCTTGAGCAGAAATGCCTACAAACAAAACGTATTAAGACAAAAATGCAAAATAGAACAACCTATCAACAAAATTACATATTTGCTACATCAAGAATCATGTTAAATTGATATAGCCATCCCTAGGGCATTAGCACCAAATACAAAATTAAGTGACAGCATATTGTGATGAGTGTTTTTCAAACTCTGTTGCTTACCTTCTGTCCGAGCATTTGTCTTTACAGTCTTAGTGAATACAAACTTCTCAAAAGCTAACTTTGCATTGTTTGTAGGCCAGTCATCTGAGTAATACTTGACTGCCACACGCTTCCCTTCAGAATCTAAAAGAAGAATATTTTTTATTGTAGGACACAAGCCCTACAGATGTAACAATATAACAAGAAGTCAAAAAAGGAGAACTGTATTTATCACAAATACCTTGCACAAATATTGGAAGCTCCCCCCCTCTCTCTCAAATTGTCAAAACAGGTAAACTGAAAAGCAGGATGCGTGCTGTACAACTTATTCAGTTCCACACACCATTCATAGGAAAACAAAATTTCATGATCAACACGTTTCTTTTATTAGTTTAGTTCCCACTTCCCACAAAGTAGCAATACATAGAGTATTTACTTCATAAAGTAGAGTTAAAGTTAAAGCATGATTTCCAGCATATTTAATTATCACCAATCATCTGATTTAGTGTACACCAAGACAAAAAAAAAATTAAAAAATATAAAATCCTTTTCCCTTCTCATCAATTCTCCCAGTAGCAGGTGCCATGCTTCCAAAAATTGATGAAAAATCAGTAACTACATACATACATTGATGCCAAACAAGTTTACTAGCCAAAGCTTCACGATTAAAAACTCGGAGGATAAATGTTCTAAACGGATCTGAAATGAGATAAACAGATATCTCACATTTAAACACCCATTCACCGGTATATCCTAATTCAAACTCCAAATCACTTGATGATCCAACCAACAAAAACAAAATACAAACTTTTTTGAAACCCAATTCCTAGATTTACGGGAATAAGCTAAACCAGGATTCATGAGCTTACAGATCCAATATAACAGAAAAGAAGCTCAAAATTTCATCCATTTCATATTTCTTCATGAAACTATGATGTTTAGCCATTACATTGTGATTTGTGTGCAGAGCATGATATGATATATGACATGAAGAAGTTGAAAGAGAGAGAAAGTGGCTTACATAGGATACCATGTCTGAGAAGCGAAAACAAGAAGTTGCAGTGCCTGAACTTTGGAGATCTGCGATTAGAAGTAGGAATTGAGGGAATAGTTGTTAAGTATGAAGGGCAATTTGGTAAATGGAAAATATGCCACTTTAACGTAACAATTCTAAAGTTTTTACCCTGTGGTTGTGACTTGTTATAATAAAAGCAAAAGTTTATTTATTTATTTTTGCCAATAGCGACATTTAAATGGGTCAGGCCATCGAGTAAAGGTCTATGGCCTAACTTTTGTCCTATTACATGTAGGTAAATAAAGTAGCTATAGTCTTTTTAACATATTTATGTCAAAAAGTAGGTTTTAGATTTTTTTTTACATGCTCGGCCGATAAATTTACATGATGTCTTATATCATATTATTTATTAAAAAAAATTATTATTTTAATAATAAAGTAATATTATTTTAATTATTAAATATTTAATAGGCTTACACATACTAAAAAGCCTTAGTCATATAAGTTAGATCAGACTTATAATTTAGGTCTACACAAGACTAACAAGTCAGGTCAAGATTAAGGTATTTTACACATGTGTTTAAACTATTTAAAGTAAAGCCTAACATAGCTCATTTACACTCCTATCGATACACACAAAATCAAATAGAAAACCAAAAATAAAAGGTTCTAGGTAGGCAAGCTTACATAAGTTAACAAATCTATGTCAGATTTTTTTAAATTTTTAAATTTAACCTTTATTTAATACTTAATATATTTTATATAATTAGTTTAAAGAATTTTGTCCAAGTTTAGGGTGTATTGGATTGCGATTTCAAAGGATTTTAATGAAATATTTTTGGACAAAAAAACTCATTAGCATTCAATTGAAATTTTAAAGGATTGAAAAAAGTCGTGGTATTCGATTGGGATTTTAAAAGATTATTTTAGAGTCCGTCCAAATTCGTTGGTATTCAACCAGGATTTTAAACAAAGGAAAAATAATCTTGCAGTATTCAAAAATCTGATGACTTAATAGATTTTCTATTGGTGCAGATTTCGTGTAACTTTTTTGTGATAAATATAAATAGGATGTCTCTCTCACAATCTCACCATAATTCTTAAGATTTCTTGAGATTTCTCTATTGCAGCGTCTTCTTCTTCCTTTGGTGGGTTGACCCGCTCGAAATCAGGTTCCGCCTTGGGAGGATCTTCGTCAAAGCTAAAAAATAACAAATTTTTGAGCGATTTTCATAACAAAACAACCCAGAAGCAATAACCCAATAAGATTTTAATCTAATCCATCTAAAAAATAGCAGATTTTTAAGAGTTTTTGAAAGTTTAAAAAATAATTTTTTAAGCTATTGGTCGCGATTTTTCTTGACACAAAAATGTGTGATTTTTTTATTAAAAACTACATGGGAACAAAAATTCTCAAACCAATTATTGTTTTACTTCAATAAAACAAGATCAATTTAAAGAAAAATTGAAGCTTTCATAATATGAATCCTATGTTTCATAATAATATATTCATGAACGAAATTTCTTCGTTATATGAAACGAATTCAAACAATTTTTGTGTCAATAGATCACTAAAAACTTGTTTTTCAAAAGCTCAAAGCAATTTAAGATTTCAATGTATCGATTGAAAATAATTTGAGAAATTTTCTAAGCTTTCATGTAATAAAATCCAGAAATTCAAATTCAAAATTTTCTTAAAATACTCAATGAAAACATGCATATAATATATGAGATGTTATATTTACAAACTACACTATGTACTCTCGGAAGTACACTAGGTTACACTAAGTACTTTCGGGAGTACATAATCTAATTTGCAAAAATTTGTAAAAAAATTTTATAAACGGATCCTTCCCTTATGATATATGGTTAAAAAACTCTCGTCACACAGAACAAAAATCTCAAGGTTTACAAGATCAATTGCAAAAAATTCCAAAAGACATTTTATCATGAATTTTACTAATTGAGAAAATTATATTAGGTTTTACTTTTTTTATTAATATGATTGCATTTCTTTGTTACTTTTTATTGATTCTTGTAATTTTGAATGTTTGTTAAAAATTCATATGATTTTTTAAAATCTTATAAATTCATATTATCCTTTAAAATCTTATAAATTCTATTAAGATCCTTTAAAATCCAATCTTATGAAATCTTGTTTGTAAAAAAAGTCTTTTTTTTTTTTTTTTAAATCCCTCCCATCCTAAATAATTTTTTAAAATCTGTAAAAAAAAATTATCTTAAAAAAGGTCTTTTAAAATCCTAATCTAAACACCCCTTGAATCTAAGTGAGCCCACTTACACCAATCAAGACATAGCTGATTGTTTTTGTGTGTGTGTGTGTGTAACCCAGCCTTGAGAGAGGGAAATCTAGATGTTTACGTGGAATATCTTCTGCATGTTTGTATGAAATTTAGATGCATATCTTTGGTACTATATAAGCATATTCTCTTTTACCAAAATTAGGAAAAGGTAAGACTAGATGAACATAAATGAGTGAGTAAAATATAAAAAGTCACTTATAAAAAAAAGTAATAAAAAATATACTGAAGTATTACTTGAGTACGGAACATATTTTGGACAATTAGGAATTTAGATTGTGTAATAGCATTATTGATACACACAAAAGTGGACATAAACTGAGGTTCATTTGTTCCGAGGCTTGTGGAGGTTTGCCCAAGTTTTTGTCTGAGTTCGTTGTGACCATGGTTGAGCGATTCTTATAATATTAAAAATGGAGGAGTACTTAGCTACAAAATATATACTGCTTATAATGATGTCCCTAGGAGACCGGATTTTGAGGGGTTCTAACGCATATCTTAATAGAGTTTCTCTTTTTTTCATGTTGTAGAAAAATTCTTTCTCCTATTATAGATAGATACAAAATGTGATGAGTCTCGCATCTCATTAAAAAATAAAAACAAAAAAAAGTTGTTGCACACATTTTAATGTATTACTAGTGGGAGAAAGAATTCTCCTATAACATAACAATTTTTTTCCTCATCCTGTTAGTATTTGGGTGTCCTAGAGACAATCTTATGATTAAATAAGACAAGATGTATACCTTTTTAATATTGTCGCAAATAAATAAAAGCACTCTTTATCTTGTTTCATAATTATGTCTCGATATTAATATTAATATATTATGAATAACTTGATAAACCCCGTGGAATAACTCTTGAGTATCTGTGATGAGATCACAATCATGAGGATTCAAGAATACCGGATGTTTATTCCTAATTTTATGTTCCTAGTCTAGAGATACTGAGAATGGGGTCAGTAATCTCGGGTAAGACTAGCACGACTTATCTATTTGTATATGGATACAAGGTATAGACCTCATGTGCTACATATGGAGATGTCTTAGCTAAAGTCGTGGGTGGACCTATAAGGGTATAGCTCGCACTGAACGGATCCACAAAGAGACTCTATGAGGAACTCTCACAGAGAGTATCATTAGAGTATTCTCTTTATATTTGGGTATGTCTTTCCTAAGACCAGAAGTTATTACCTAGACTGTGTTCTAGAAGACATGCTTTGATTGTGCACCTCGTCTGCCTGAAACATGGAGACTCATAGGTATACTGTTGGGCTTGTCCTGAAAGAACACAGGGCTAGAGTGATAAGCTGAAGGAATTCGTCAAATCTCTGTGAGAGATTAGGTTATCTGTAAACCGAAGAAATCGGGATGACATTTACAGGGACTCGGGAATCTATGCATAGTAAAAGAGATCATGAGATGATCTGCCTTTAGAGTCTGTAAATTGAAGATTCCCTATTTCGAATAAAGCTCACCCTAAACCGCAGGGGTTGATACGCTTCCTTACCCTAGGTTTTATGGGAAGGTAACCGAGACGAAAGGAAATATGTACGGCAACCAAATATGTTTAATATGATGATCAAATCATTAATCTAACTAGTTCTGGGGCAACAAAGCATTGCTAGTGCTCTGTGTTGTCATTAGATGAGTTGTGGGCTTATTGGGCCCAAGCCCATTTATGTCAGTGGCTAAGTTAGACCTAATGGGTCACACACAAACACCTAATTGTCTAGATGCTCTAGCATTAAAGGTATTGGGCCTAATAATAGTTATTAGCCCAAGAAGTTGTTTGGAACTCCACCTAAAGGGGTGGAGGGCGCATGGTTCATTGTAATGGGCTTGGATAGTCCAAGACATTACTAATTAATTTAATTAGTTAAATTAATTATCAAACATTTAAATTTTGAATTTTGGAATTCGAAATTTGAATTTTGAAATTTGAATTTGAATTTCGAAATTCGAATTTTGAATTTGAATTTTGAAATTTGGATTTTGAATTCGAATTTTGAAATTTGAAATTTGAAATTTGAAAATTTGAATTTTGAATTTGAATGTTTGAACATTTGAATTTGAATATTTGAATGTTTGAATTCAAATATTTGAATTTGAATTGCCTATGAAAGGTTGTTTCATAACAAAAGTATAAGATGAGATCTTGTTGGAACAAATCACTAGTATCATGAGAGAATCTTTTGGACAAGATCCAAGGCCATATATGGCGCTGATTTGGGTTGTTGGTGAGCAAGATTTGCTCATCAAAATCAGCTCTAGAAGATTCAGTCAGTTGAGAGAAAATCTGAGTGAGTTGATTCAAATTTGAATGCAACTACTCATATGTATCTGGTCACCTTTTTGGGCTATATGGGGCGCACCATATAGCTGATCTTATGAAGATTTCTGATCAGAATTTTAAATAGGTTTTTGAACTAATTCTCAAGAGAATATTCTAGGAGACTGTTAGCAATTTTTGAAATAAAACAGCTCTACTTCTCTTTCTCCAATCTGGTGCCTAATGATCAGATTTTTAGGAGAAAAATTTGATTGGTATTTTATTTTAAATACTCTCCTCTTATGCACCTATGTGGTAGTTGTTCCTCCAAGGATTTTTCTGAAAACCTAGCCTATTCTCTCCTCTCTCCTGCGCCACTTGTGAAGCTTTCACATTGAGAGCTTCACTTTTTCAAACACTTTCACCTAGCCTCCATCTTCACACATAGAGCGCCTAGCAAGCCTCTTTGTGGTGATCATCCGGTGGCTTCACAAGAAGGAGTTCTTGCACCTAGACGGGTGGGTGGTGTGGATCAACGTTAGAGGGTCTAAACCCTTCAGACCGGCCTTGATCATCTGGTGATTTCACGAACAAGGTTTTCCTAAAGCATGATCTTGATGTGCATGTATATTTCGCAAAGAAAAATTTTGTTTTTCCCTCTCGCATGCATCGGCCTTCAAAGCCATTTCGAACTTTCACATCCTAATAACAGGTGAATTGTTAAAACATCTATTGGTTATATCGCTTTGGAATTGAAAGGCCTTTTTACATTTTGCCTTTGATTGTTTGGATTTGGGACTTGTTTTAAGGAACTAACTCAGACATATAACCAAATATGTATGCAATATCTTGTCACCTCATTCTGCAGGTATTACAATTACTTGCTTCTTAATGTAGAGGGCTAGCCTATTGGCTTGATAAGTTTCAGTTTCGGTTGTGGTGCGTAGGTTTAGGTGGCAGTTGTCTTGGACTCTTGGCTATAAACTTGGAGACAATAGCATATCAGGACCATCCTTTGTATTCAGAACAGAATGGAATCAAGGCGCTAAGCTTCCATAGACTTTGTCTCTTTACCAAAATGGCCTGTGTGAGTGAACAAAAACAGTAGAAATCTTAACGAATTTGACAGAGTGAATATTGAACTATGCCTAAAGCAGCCCAAAATGGCCAAAGATGACTCATTAGAGACCGAGACATTGGTTGGATGCTCTGGATTGTTTTATTTAATCTGGAACAAAATCTTACCTAACTGTGGAGACCCTTGACTGGGTACAATTCTCAAAAAGCCAATTAATTTGTGCTTTAACTCATTAAGTAACACTTGACCAACGGGATCATAACCATGTAATAATAAACAAAGGAATTTCTTTCCTACATTTTATGATAAAGTGAAGGTAACTCACTTTCTTAACAATTTGAAATGATTTTTTTTTTTTGGTATATAAGTGCTAATAGTTTATAAGTATGTGTTTAAGTATGTGTTCAGATGGTTGAAGCACATTCTTTTGAGATTAGCCTTATAGGTTTATCTAATAGCCACTTGTTGTAATCATAATGATGATTTACGAAAATTCTTTGAATATGAGGCGAGTACAAATTATCAAGAAATATTAAATATGAACTTGATAGGAATACATCAGATCAATAAAAACCAATGGATATGAACAATGTTCATGGGCTATAGAAGGAGGGACCACACTTGCATTTCCAGCTCTCGGGCTCATAATTGGCATACTGGATGCCCAAATGGCTGCTAGTGCTGGGGACTTGGATGGCTTCACATGGCACACAACCATAGCACTTGTGCTCACAGCTTGGTGGACTTGACCCTATTTTGCTGACTCCTCTATCATATGCTTCCTGCCTTGTCTCTGACATACCTTCTGTGCCAATCAAACCCTTTAAAACATAGATTGAAAAAACACACACAGTGCAACAATATGTTAGTCACTAGGACACCAAAGAGACCAAGCCAGCTCCAAACATATAGATAGGGATAAGACATACCTTTTTTGATTCTTTAGTGTGTGGTGAAGACTGTAGAGCCTCTTCTCGAGCTGAAAAGAAGAGTGAGAAGAGTCAACATAGGAGAGAAAGAATAAAGCCTACAATCTAGAGCAAAATGAGATGATCAAGAGTCTAAGAAAAATGTTAGAAAAATGTCCAGTGTGGTAGAAAGGTTTGAGGGCAAACACGGGCAAGCATTATAAATGTCATTTTTCTTGCAACAAATGTTTGAAAAATCTTTTAAGAATGTCACTGCCAATTACTAAGTTGAAGCTGAGGTATTACAAACTCATGATTGGGAGAAAAATTCTGGGTTTAGCTGTAATAGAAAGAAGCCAATCTTCAAAATGGTGTTTGGTAACTAACCTGGGTGTGAAATGCCATCAGCTGGAAGAAATGGCCTCCTTGCTGTAGAAACCCAACTCAATATTTGCAAAGCTAGCAGAAAGCAGAAGAATTTTCCCTTCATTTTCTTTCTTCAAAAGCCCAAATGATTATCGTGGTGATTTCTGTTGTTTGGTGGTAACGTTTATGGTGATGTTTGTTGTTGATGATAATATTTGTGAGAGAGGTGCAGATTTTGATACACTCACAATAAGTGGCTAGGCATGATTGCTGGAATATATGAAGGGGATAAAAGGCTACCAAAGGAGCTTGCAGCTGCAAATCCCAAAAAGCAGACCAGGACCTCCAAACATTCTAAGGTTACTCTTTAAAACCTTTGCATTGGCCGAGAGATTTTGATTCACAAACAAGTGATTTTGGTTACTTGTCACACAGTTGAAAACCTTAACAAGTTTCACCTTCATTTGACAACACACTAGGAATTCCAAAGACTAGTCTTTTTTCCACTGTCTTTCTGCCTCTGACCTTGGATAACTTACCTTTTAATACAAGCCAAAGCTTTCTCTCTCAAATCAATCTAAAGTAGTAGTACTATATATTGTGGTCCACAAATTCAGAATAACAGCACCCTTTTTGGGTCTGATTGTCTGCAGCACCTGCAAGACCCTTATAATTATCTGATATTTCAGATTTTTTTTTTTTTTTCAATAAAAACTTTGATGCATAGACTACACACATACACACCCTTTCCCTTTTCCTGATGCTTTCATTGCCATTTATAGGGAAGAAAGAAATCAACGACAGAGTGCCAGTTATATATTGTGGAAAGCGTCTGAGACATTCAGTTCTGCAGGAAAAAACATTTAATGAGTTACTTAATTGAATAAGTTACTATTCTCAACTTTCTAAGGGCTGGTTGTTGGAGAACATGGCATTGAATTTGGTTGCTGGATATTTTCAAAAGTTAATGAAAAGCATATTCCGGTTACATTATTTATTATGGTTCAAAAATTTTCAAAAAAAAATAGACCTTTGATGAAAGAGCAGCTAACAAGGCATTATTAAACACGCAGGATTCGGTTCACCATAGGTGAGGTAGTCATTTACTATTATTTCTCTTACGGATATTTGTTCGATGAGAAATTTTTTGAATACTAGAAAAATGTAATTGATAGAGAAATGGTTGGAAAGTGAGTTTGGTAGGAAAATGTAAAAAAAGTTGTTTGATTAGAAAAAAATTTACCGGACAAATTAGGTAAGATTTATAAAGTCTATGTTTGGTTGATGATAGAATATTGATGAGAAAAATGATTGAAATAACGAAAATAACCCTTTATTAAAATACTTTATTAAATTCTTCTCCCCTTTCTCCTTCAAAACTCTCTCATTGCTCATCAAATCAACTCCTTCCACCTCCAGAGTTACACTGTTGTTCTTGTCACGTCCAATATTTCTTAACAGTCCAACCAGTTAACTTACATTCAGCAGAGTTACAAAGAGGTTATTTTTGGAAGCTATTATGTCAAAAAAAATTCACTTATCTAGACATGTGATATACCACTTTGAAAGTGGGATTTGAGCACCATCCATTTTGACCAATTTTACACACAATTTTCAATGGCTGGGGAAATAGGTTAGCTAGCAAAAAAATTTGATATCCTCTACCATACCAAACATAGATAACACAAAATTCCAATATCAGATATCTAGCTATATTTGAAGAAACCTCCTATCAAACACAACCTATTGTTTCTGCTAAGCTTAGTAGGCATTATTATAAAGTAAACATTCGTGTACTGTAATTGAATGCGGCCAGTCCAGTTTGTGTGATGATAAGCATTTCAATGAGATAGACAATAGATAAAAGCACGGTGATATTATATAAAGGTTAGTCAAAATGACATGAGTAGGTCATCAATCAATCACGTTAAAGGCCAATCAGAGGAAGGCACTGCTAAACAACAAATACACCTATATATACCCTTTTCTGCAAGGTGGGTATACACTATTATCTGGGAATTATTAAGTATAGTTATAGGGCAGTTGTGTGATTTGAGTAAAAGTTTCTTTCGTAAGTTGATGTGCTATATGGTCAAGGAAGCTGATGTTATCTACCTACTAAGCTACAGACAGTTGCCAAGAAAGTGACAGAAAAGGCCCCTAGTAAATTACATAGGGTTTAGGGCTACTGAAAAAGGAGTTAAGAAAAAAAAATGAGGTAGAATAAAGATAGTAAGTATTATGGCTTGGATCTTGTGCATGAATGTTTGGCTATTCCGGTGACGTTAAATGGGAAAGGAAATCATCAATGCAGCCTTGTAAATAGGTTGAGTCTGCAAGACCGATAAACTATGCTTAGGTGCAATTTTTCTAGTTTCTGGCACCGCTTATGTATAAACTATAAAGCTTCTTTGCTCTTGTGCTCCATTAGAGCATTGCTTAGAATTGAGAATGGCAAAAGATGTAAGTACTAAAGAAAGCAGGAAAAGATATTGCAGATATTCACTTTCATATCATTTGACGTGGAAATTAGTTCTTGTCAGTATTGCCTTGATTTTTCATCAAATAAATTATTGTTACTAACATATTTTATTGATGGATGTGCATAAACATATAAGTAATCTTACCAGATAATGAGGGAACAGCAGAAGAATGGAGAACCTATCAGCCTAATATATTCTTGAATGAAATACATAACAACCCGTACCAACCTTCCTAGCACCGACCAATAACTAGAGCCACTAAGAACCCAACTTATGGCATCAAAATGCCACTGCTCCATCAATGATACCCATCTTGAATACAAAACCATAAGTCAGGCAAACCTTTTTTAATGCCCAAAGGTACTTTTGGATTGAAATTATAATGTAAAGTGAATTTTCCAGTAAAATCAGCTTTATCATTCTTGGTAAGATTTAGATTTCGATCAGCAAAGATGTAAATTGGCAATAGGAAAATACAACGTCAACAGATAGAATTAGCCAATGGCGATTTTTTTTTTCCTAAAAAGAAAAAGGATTCAGCATTCAAATAACCAATTTAATAAAAAAAAGAATAATTTCCTTTTCATATCTAAAGGAAACAACAACAAAAGAAAAATTAAGTTGACAAAACAAACATAGTAGTTTTGATGCTTAACACCATTGAGACAAGTCTTCACAGTCTTTGTTACAAAATAAAGGTACATCCCACCCATCATTTTGATGGCGAGTCTTGAGTGCCAGATTCTTTCTTGGGATGAATGGCCTCAACTACAGCTTCAATCTCCTCCTTCACCCGTGCAAACACACTGGGCGCTTTGACTTCTTCAACTGAAGTTTCCTCATCAATGTCATCACTTCTCCCATGAGTTTCTTTGTGATGGTGAGGCGATTTGTCATGATGAAAAACTGCCTCAATCTCCTCCTTAGCTCGCTCAAAAATGTTTGGAGATTTGACATCATTTTCTTTTAAAAAGCAAAATACAAAGGGGTTCAAACCAAAATTTGAAAAAATAAATACATCAATTGTCATATCACATATGCTTGGAATGTACAAGAATTGGTCCACATATATCTCAAGAAATATGAACCAAAAATTACACACACCATGTTCTAGTAATACCTAAGATAAGATACATAAGAAATCAAATAAACTCCACAACTTCCCCACAAGTCCACAACCAAAAAGAAAAGAACTTTCAGCAATGGGGAAGCAGAATAAACTAATTAGAATTTAAAATAATAAAAAAAGAGAGAGAGCCATAAATGGATTCTTCTGTTAAGTGGCTGTTATAAGAAAGTTTGCATTTTTCTCTATTCTCACAGTTCTCTCTCTCTCTCTCTCTCTCTCTCTCTCTCTCTCTCTCTCTCTTCATCATAGTTGAAACCACCGCATGTTCTAACTCTAGAACTCAAAGGGTATTAACGTATTGTAATCAATTTCAATAAGAACTTTTAACAGATCAAAATGCTATCTTTTGAAACGAAGGTCATCAAAATCAGAAATGCCAACAGATGAAAAACCAAGCTCCATAACAGCACCAAGTACAATAATATTGTAAACGAAAAATACAAAAAGATGAGAGTTTTTGGATGATGATACCTGAAATCGAGTCTTTTGGCTTGGGTTCCATTTCCGCCATTGAAGTGACTTAAGACACGCTCTAGTTGAGGCTATAAAAAAACGATGATGTACTTTCCCATCTTCCTAAAACCATGTACCTGTTTCGCTGTTTCTTCGTTATTAATTATTTTATCTTATAATTATTTTAATTATCATTTAATCAAAATTAAATTAACAATTATAAAATGATATCGAGTGAAATTCATTAATCTACTTTTGATTCAATCATAATAAAATGGTTTTAAAAGATGGTAAAATAAAGAAGTTATAGGTATCAATCAATTCTCCCAATTAAAATTATTAACTAAAATAAATTTCAAAATTTATAATATGTGTATATATTTCAATATAATTATTAATTATTAATTTTTTTACAATTTTTCAAATGCACTATACAACTAGGGGCAACATTGGTACTTCATGACTTGAAGAATTGTAGTCGGTTACTCGGTTCCATTTTGGGCCCAAAACGACCAAGCCCTTGTACTCTTGCACACCCAATATCACATCACATGTTGACATGGTTAGGTTTGCTCATTGTGCGGTGTTCTTCTTGTGTTAGTCCAACAAATTTGTTTAATGTGTACACAAGGCAAATGTTCTTGGCTTTTCACACATAATATAACAAGAGAAAAATGTGTATCATTTTAAAAGATATAAAATATATTATTTTAAATTAGAGAAAGAAATAAATAAAAGAGGAGAGAGAGTGATAAAAAAATATAAAGATGTGAGTCTCACTTCTTTGTGAGAATGAAATAACATAAATTATGTCATTTAGAAGGACAAACATTTTTCTCATACAACAAATATATAGCAATTTAGAATTTTCTCAATTGTTGGAATTTGATAAAAAGATTCTTTCATTAATTCAGAGCTTGTATACTATTTTTTATTAGAAGAAGCTTCTCTAAGTCTATACTAACATGTACATCATTGCAATCAAATTAATATTAGACTTTAGAATTGACCTATGTACAGTGATCACTTTGAATGAAGTAATGTTATTGCCGAATCATTTGCTACGCCCAACGGTGAATATGAAGTAGGTATATATAGTCCCTCCCAATAAAAAATTTTCTATACATATATATGATCAGAATCGAACTCTGGTTAGCATGTTCAAGAGATTCATACCAACTCTGCAAGGTTTTATTGGTAGTGTGAGATATTTTAATATAGTGCTAAAAGTATAATATTATGTATCATTTATATGAGTTCATACTGCCTCACTTAGGATTATAAATAGGTTGGGCTAGGTTAGGTTAGACTTTGGGTTAAATAAATCAGGCTTGTGTAAAATATTTTAAGTTAAACCTGGTCTGTTGATCTGTGTAGGTCCAAATTATAAGTGTTGTCTAATCTATATTTAAAAAATAAAAATCTCGATCAAGGTCAGTTAGCTTGTTTAAACCTATTAGACATTCAATAATTAAAAAAATATTACTTTATTATTCAAATAATTAAAATAATAATATATTTATTTTATTCAAAATATAATATAAGCCAACTTGCAGGCTTATAAACCCGGCATGTAAAAAAAAAAGCTCATGACATACTTTTTAATAGTTTTTTTTTTAAGCTCAAACATGTTCTATTTAACTATATATAATAAGCTGAGTCGTAGGTTCCTATTAGGCCAAATGATCCATTTACATCTCTAGCCTCACCTAATCTTTAAAGGGCAGGGCTACTTATGCAGTTATAATCATGATTATGTGAGTACTTGTTATGTAAGTTTCATTACTCATTTTAGGTAACATATATGTAGGTGGCAGTGCACAACGTGGACCACACAAAATTGTGCATGCTCAAAGTGAAACTGATAATTCACGACAGGGCTCGATAGAAAAATGGGACGGTGCGTATGAAACTGAGTCAAGGTCGGATCGAGTCACGTAGTTGAACGTTTTGTACGAGAAATTAAAGAAAGTTATAACTTAAAGCTAAGAAAAGTTGTTCGGGACACACAGAACAGTTCGTGATGACCATATATATGAAGATGAACCGCGTTGAAAGCTCAGTTCTACAAGGGGAAAACTGAAAATAAAGAAAAACGATCAAGTTTTCAATTGCATGAACTTCGACTAAATCACATCCCAAAAACGCTATGTTTGAAATTGAAATATGAAAATGATGTGTAGCAGCTTGCGTTGGTCCAAGGAAACACTTGTTTGACGCTTCATGGCTATTTGGATTTTATTGTCACATTTATTTATATATATATATATATATATATATATATATATATATATATATATATATATATATATATATATATCTCTATGTTTGATTTTCTTAGTCTTTATATATTCATCCCTAGTACAAGTAAGCTTTTGCGTTTTTCTTTCACGTGCCATCTAATTTACTATATAATTGATTTAAAACTAAGAACAACACAAAGATAGTCTGATTCACCTTAAAAAAAACATTATAGAGAAAATTCAGAGAATCTAAATTCAACTTTATTGAGATGAAAACACACTTGAAAACCAAATAACCATAATTTCGTCACTCAAAATTAAAAAAAAAAAATAGTGCACAAATTCAAACTCTCTTAATGTACTATTTAACTTCTTTTCCATCTTTTAATTATCCCCCCTCCATGTGTAAGCATCGCTGAGACAATTTTGAATTAGCAGTGTAAATGATCTGAACTGAGTTTGGCTAGGTCAGATTAGACTATGATTTAAATAAGTAAGGCCTAAGTAAAATATTTTGAGTCTCGTATGACTTATTAACCTAATATAGGCTATACTCTAGACTTAACTTCTCCTATATTTAAAAATCAAAATGTTTGATTTATACTTATTAGCTTGTATAAATATATCAAGTCTTCGATAATATATATATGAGTTCGCTTTTTCTGCAGTTACTGCAGATAAGTTATCTGCAGTAAGTCTAATACGACGTCATTTTGGGGCAGAAATCATGGTATTTTGTAATTTTAATTTATTTCAGGGTTATAATACTCTTTATATTTATAATTTTTTAAGATTTCAATATTAAAACGACATCGTTTTGGAAAAATGCAGATAACTTATCTGCAGTAACTGTAGAAATATTTTTTTCCTATATATATATATATATATGATCATTTTATACTGCTGTCAAACTTTAAAATTTGACATCAAATCATAACTGTTGATCTCCACCAATCAACGATTATCATTTATTGAGAATTAATAGTTAATTAATAAGTTTGATTCCAATAAATGGTAACCGTTGATTGACGGAAATCAACCGTTAGGATTTGGTATCAAATTTGACACCAGTATCAAAGGATCATATCTCATATATATATATATATATATATATATATATATATATATATATATATATATAAATTTTTATTAACTGAAAAATATTATTATTTTTGATACAATTTTATTTAAATATTAATTATGCTATTGAAATTTAATTGAATTAATTTTCAATACCATAATTAGTATTTAAATAAAATTGTATCAAAAAAATATATTTAAACAATGAAATTATTTATTTAAAATTTGCTTTCCACAAGATAAAAATTACTTATTTAATCTTTAATATAATAAATATTTAAAAAAAATTATTAAAATTTTTATATTAAAATAATTATTATTTTTTAAATATTAATTATGTTATTGAAATTTAAATGAATTAATTTATAAATTTCAATATTCAATTATATATTGAATACTTTATTTAATATAATTAATTTGAAAAGACTAAGTTTACAATTTTATTCCTTAAATAATTTGCAATAACAAAATAGTAAATGTAAAGAGGGAATTACGAAATTGATTGCTTAAATTGTTTCTTAACAAAAAGCATAAGGCTTTGTTTACCCAAAAAAAAAAGAGAGAGTATAAGTCCTCATTTTGATCTTCAAAAGATTCTTGGAACATCAATTTTATTCTCAACTTATAATTTTTTACATAAAAATAGTAAAACAACACTATTTATTAAGACAATTAATATTATGTGATTATCAAAAAATTATTCTAAAATTAATTTTATGTCTCTAATATTTTGTTGGCCAAATTGATATTTTAAAACGGGATACCGAAGTTAAATTGAATACAAACCAATAATAGTATGTAAATGGTCTTTTTGTTATTATTGCTCTGATTATAATCAGATTCGAGATTTTTGTTATTTTTTTATGTTTATGCATCAAATTAAATCAATTTTTTATATATCTATCAAAAAGTTAGTTTTTTATGTTTTGAAATTTATTTTTGTAACATTAATACTTCGATAAATTTATTTAAAATTTATGAAATGCTAATGTTATTATTTGAAATTATCAATATGCCCATCCATTTAGAACAAAAGTGAATTTTGTGTGTGTATACAATTATACATATGTATTGCCTTTTATTTTTGGTAAGTTTTAAAAGTGAACATTTTATTTAAAAATCAAAAGCTTAATATTTTAATCAGTCTTTTTATTGAACATTTTAATCGATATTTTATGTATAACATTTTAAACTGGATTTAAATTAGCATGTATAATTATTATGTTGTTATAACACTATGGATATTAAAGCAAATAACAATTCGGCTTAAATGAACAGATAGAAGTAGTAAATCCTACTATAAGAGTACTTGTCGGAGCTAACCAAAACAAAATCCAATTCTATGTTTGTGAAATAAATGCCATTATGATTTTTATGAGCACTTCCTTTTCTAAGCTTTTGACTGATTCTGTATCTTTCACATCTCCGCGTGAAAAAGTGTTAACTTTTCACGTACGTACTCACACAACACTTTCTGTAAGTCACACCATAATATTCCAATATTTCTATTCAAAACAACCCATTTTGAGGGACTTGCTGGTCATACAAATTTTCTTGTTTTCTATTCAAACCAAACTGTTTCCATTGGTGGCACCAAAATTCCAACGGGTCACCAAAATAAACTTCGACTCCTTTCATGTCTTCCAAACTTGTGCCTTATAAAAATGAGTGGGTAAGTGCCCATTTAATTCAAAGACTAAAACTCAAGTGCTAGCTTTGAATAGAGAGAATCATAAAGAAGCTTAAGGTGACCCTCTATTCATTTTCTATATCATTTTTCAGTTGGAAATGCATTAAATGACTTTTAGAAGTTTACAAGATTGTATTGTGATATATTTTTACTCCTTAATTGAAGGTGAATAATTGTGTTTTTATTTAAGTTGTGGCGTGTTTAACGACGTCAACATTTCTTTTATGCTTTTCTTTTGTTGCTATAAAAAAATTCTGATAGAAAAAAAAAAGATTCAAATGCTAGAGTGAAGAGGTACGGAATGTCATTAAAGCTTTTTTAATGCTTGACTTGGTCTTCTTTGATTTTTCTTTTTCTTTTTCTTTTTTTCTTCATTTCTTTCTAGAACTATTTTTCCTGGGGTACTGAATGTTTTATCTTATGAGAATTGCATGTTTATAATATAAGGTTCTGCAACTTCCATGTAAATGTACTATTCAGTCTTCTTGGAGCAATTTGATGCATTAAATAAGTCATTGAAGACAAGGATATATCTTCTCCTTAAATTGCCACCATTACTTGTGAAACTCTAAAGCCCCATTGTTTCTTATTTTTGCAGTGAAGTGCAAATGGTAACATTAAGACCAATCGATTATGAGCCCAAGGAAGGAGAGATCACCTTCAGAACAATGAGCTTCAAGAAAGGAAGAAATTTCGATGACTTGTATAAACCTGATGAGTTGGATAAGGTTATCACAGAAGAATCTACATGCTCAAAGAGAAGGAAAGTGGGAAATCTGAAGCTGCAAACCACATTCTCATTCAAATATCTAGTTTCAGATAATTCTGGTTCAAAGAAGGAGGAAGTTGATGACTTGTTCAACAAACAAAGCCCCACAATCTTGTTTCCAAAACCAGAAACTTGGTTTTCACCAAAGTCCATTGGCGAGCTTGATGTTGCTGCAATAAAGCTGCAGAAGGTTTACAAGAGCTACAGAACTAGAAGAAACTTAGCAGATTGTGCAGTTGTTTGTGAGGAGCTATGGTTTGTTCATTATCCAAGTTTATAATATATTTTTTTATGGCTAAGGAATTTAATGAGCAATTATAATTCAGTGATTAGTGCTTAATAAACTTTCCCCAATAACTGATTTAATGTTTTCTCTTAACTCTTGAAGGTGGAAGGCTTTAGATTATGCTGCTCTTAGCCGGTGCTCTATATCATATTTTGATTCTGTCAAATCAGAAACAGCTATTTCAAAATGGGCAAGAGCTAGGACGAAGGCTGCTAAGGTACCCTTTCATGCCAGAAGCTAGAATCTTTGAATGAATTATGAAGACTTGAATATCATTTTTATTTTTGTTTGCTTTAATAATTGGGCCATTATATTTGTTTCCTGTAAACTCTATTAGTTGCCTGGAAAATAATTGACTGGACATAATTTGGCTTTTCTAATTATATATATGACTGGGACCATAGAGACGAATTCAAAGTTATCATTCTCTTTCAGCAAAATTTTCTTTTGGGATTTTGTTATCAAAATACCTTTTTTTGGGCTGTTGGTAGGTAGGAAAAGGTTTGTGCAAAGATGATAAGGCGCAGAAATTAGCTCTAAGGCACTGGCTTGAAGCTGTAAGCTAATATGTCTACATCTTGAATTGTATCATAGTTTTAAATTCACTTAAAGAGTACAAGGAAGTAGATTAAACCAAGCTAAGATTTCCCTTGTGTTTTTGCAGATTGATCCTCGTCACCGTTATGGGCACAACCTGCACTTATACTATGCTGTTTGGTTTCATAGCCAGAGTTCACAACCTTTTTTCTACTGGTAAAAATATATACTATTCAATTAATAAAATAGATTATTGTAGAAATTAAATGTCTAAGCAAAGTTTTCATCACTAATTTTCTAATTTTATTATTGCATATTGGTGAAATGAAGGTTGGATGTTGGAGATGGAAAAGAAATAAATCTTGAGGAGTGCCCAAAAAGCGAATTACAGAGGCAATGCATAAAGTACCTTGGACCCGTAAGTTGTGTCACATCATGATATTGACAATGCCACATAACATATAATGGGACTTATATGCATTTTTATGCAATGCTTGGTGAATTCTAGAGTGCCAGTAGTGCATCAGGGACCTGCCTAGCTTTGTTGAGTATTAAATTAAATTTAGGTACAAATTGCATTGATTAGTAAAATACCAACTGGGCATTGGTATCTGTGCATTGCACTTCCAACTTCCAAGGCACTAAAGACTACATCTATAATGCTTTGAGTTTGTTACGAATATTATTTTTTGGCAAATAATTTTTGTAATGTTTTTTAATAGTTTTGACTTTATATAATATTGCGCAGCCACCAATAATATTCTTTATTTTAAGAGGTCCAACTTTGTTGCTTGCAAATGCAGAAACAAAGGGAAGCATATGAAGTAATTGTGGAGGGAGGAAGGCTTATTTATAGAAAAAGCCAGGACCTTGTACACACTACTGAAGGATCTAAGTGGATTTTTGTTCTTAGCTCATCTAGAATTTTGTACGTTGGGGAGAAGAAGAAAGGCCAGTTTCAACACTCAAGTTTTCTAGCTGGGGGTGCTACTATTGCATCTGGAAGATTGGTTGCCCAAAATGGAGTTCTTGATGTATGATCCGTGTTTTATACATACATACCATTGATAATTTTCATGATAACATAAAAAGAATTTACTTTCTATTACAATTACAATTTTGTGATAAAAGGAAAGCCTCACATCCCAAAAGAGAAAATAGGGAAAAAAGTTGAAAAGCTTTTCACTTCCTTTATATGCAAATTGATGTTCATTAAATCTTATTCAGGCTATATGGCCCTATAGCGGTCATTACTGTCCTACAAAGAAGAACTTTATGGAATTCATTGGCTTCTTGATGGAAAATAATGTGGACTTGACAAATGTAAAGGTGAATCACATTAAAGGCATTATTTTTCTTGGGCTATTTGGTCTTGATTTGAAGTCACTAAGCATCAACCTGTTGAACTTACGTGTAACCTTTAATAATTTCATGGTTTCCTTTTGCAGAATTATGCAATTGATGATGATGTCCCACCTACTAATCCTGTTGAAGAGAAGCAGCAACTTGAGCTCACAGTGGCTACTGCTGGTTCCAGTGATTCTGCCACTGCCAATAATTGTAATCAACTTAATGTGGGTCATTTTGGTGCCAATGTGGAAACTTCACAACTTAAAGAGAAAAAACCATTATCAAGCAAATGGACTACTGGAGCAGGCCCTAGGATTGGTTGTGTGAGAGAGTACCCTGCAAAACTCCAAGTCAAGGCACTTGAACAACTCAATCTATCACCAAGAGTCAACCTTGGAAAAGTTGCTGCCAGGGCACCAATACCCTCCCCTAGACCTAGTCCAAAGATACACCTGTCCCCTAGGCTTGTGCATATGGGAATTCCTAGCCCAAGAGTACATGTTACTCCAGCAAATTAGTTTGCCCAAAATCACATACCTATTCAGGGTATGTGTTCAATATTTGAGCAATTAAGGTAAATAAGGTGCGTAGGCATAGGCACTCCTTTTAATTTTGACTATTAGTACAGAACTTAGAATAAAGGTCACAATACAAAGGATCTAACCCAAGATTTATTTTTTCATTTTAAGTTTTTTCTTGGCCAATTCTTTTGGTCATTTAGCTTCTGATGAATCATTTTTTTTTCCATCTCCTCATGTTTACCCGATTGTATTTTGGGAGTTGGGTCAATCTTCCATTCCTGTAAGTCAAATAATATTTAAAATTAATTTTTTTTATTCTCACAATAACTCTTCCTCCCTCATTCTTACTCATGAAGTATTCCCCACCACTGACCAGTCATTAAGTGTAAAGATGAGGCATTACGTCAGTTTAGCAAGAAATTGGCATCATATTCCACATACAGATAATATGGATATACAAAGAGCAAGCTATTCTATGTTCTGTCGGCTCTTTGACCCCAAGGGGGTCTTTAAACACTTAATGTATCAATTTGGTATATGGTTAATATATTTTATCAACGGGGTCTCGAAGTTGCGTGGGGGCCAAGCGGGTTTGAGTCGTGCACTCTCTTTTTTAAGGAACTCATTTTTTTTTAGGTTAGAGTCGTGACTATTTTTGAAGAACTTACACGGATATGTCAAGTGACACTATCTCATTACCACATACAGTTCAGTTACTATAAAACTTCGGAATGCCATAATTTTTTACTCGGATATTCAAATTAGATATTTTTTTATTTCATTTAACTTTTCAAGATCTACGCAATGATGCATTCATTTGACATATTTTATCTTCCACGAACATAGTTCAAATGTGTAACAATAGTTTCATAATCACAAGAGCGTTTAGTAGCCTCTGAGCGATTTGTTATTGTTGGATAGTTGAAAAATAAGAAAATGAATTAAATAACATCATTCACATAGATAAAATGGATCAATCGAAGGCATGTGTTGAAGCTAATATGTTGGTTCGGAAAGAACTCAGGAGCTTCTGGATTTAAATGTTATTGTGATTTTGGTACCATTGTTACAAATTCGAATTATGTTTGTAAGAGATGAAATATGTCAAATGAGGTGTCATTGTGTAAATTTCAAAAAGTTATGTGAAATAAAAAAAATATCTAATTTGAATACCCAAATAAAAAATTATAGTCTTCTAAAGTTTTACGATGATGATATTGCTTACAGTAATGAGATTGTATCACTTAACACATCCGTATAAATTTCGTGAATGGGGTTGCAACACTCATCTGAAAAGAAAAGAAAAAGAGTTTCGTGGAGGAAGGAATACAGGACTCAAACTCACTAGCCCCTCCCCCAAGGGGAAATTAAAAATATGTCAACCAAAAATCAAATTGTTACATTTAAAGGTCAAACACCCTATTTGGTCAAAGTAGAGTGACATGTAATACCCAATGTTTTGATTGGTGGTAGTAATGTATCTATGCATTTAATTCGCTAAAGCAATTAGGCTTGTGCCACCAAAAAAGAAAAAAAAAAAGGTCAAGATTTGGTTTGGTTGAAGGACATAAATGTTTCCGAGTCATGAACCAAACAAAGTTCACCATGATTTTCAACCTCTTTCTCCACAAAAATATTTTACATACATCAGTCAGTTCTGTATGAGTGTAGCACGCCATCAAATTCGACCTACTATTACACCTTTTATAAACATCTCGTGATTTTTTTACTTTCACCAATTGGAATAAAATTTTGGAAAGTAGTTTTTTTCTCTCCATAACGGAAACTGTATATTTGAAGCAAACTAGACACTTCATTAATAAAAGGAAATGAAACAAGGGAAATACAAGTCTTCCTTATTCATAACAGTGATCAAAATATCATATTTTGGCAAAAAATTTACCCAGATGCCACGCGAGCGTAATTCGTTATGTATAATGACCTTAATTGGTAAATTTTAATTAGAGATTTAATTTAAGGATTTAAATGCCATAATTAGATTTAGTGAGTGATTTCGAGTATTTTGACTGTAATCATGACTAGGTTATGAACAGTGCGTTCTACCGGAGAATTTGCAGTGTTGTGAATTAACTGGTAGAGTTAAAATTAGTAAAATGATGTTAGAGACATAATTTGACAATTCTGACTCCATATATGAGTTCAGAACGAAAAATTGTATAGTCTGGCACTTTCCGTGAAAATCTCGTGAATAGTGTTTCTACTAGGTATTTTGTACTGCTGTTTAAGCAACCGGTAGAGTCCATAAGCCAATAATTGATGAAATAAGAATAAGAAAGTCCAATATATGCCAAGCAAGTCAATATAGGCCCAAGAAAATGACAAGTGTATAAGTTTTAAGTTTCAAAAATAAATAAAGTACAGTTAGTGGTTCACAGTGCATTTCGTCAAAAACGGTGCAGAAACCATACTGTGAATTATGAATATTGTTCCTGAGGAAATAAAAATTAATGTAAATGACTCTAGAAAAATAAAAATATATCTGTAGCTTTAAGTTAAGTCCCGGGTCATTTTGAGTAAAATACGCGATAGAAAAATAACCGGATTAAAAAGGGCTACATGTGCTCACGTTCTTAAGTCACTTAAGTATCATTTCCAAATCAGTTTCTCTCTCCTCTCCTCACTCTCAAAACCGAGCTGCAGCCATGGGGGAAGGGTTAGGGTTTGTCTTTTTCTTTCTTTGATTTCTCCATGGTTAAGCCACCAAATCTTCCACCCAATATACCAATCTCATAGGAAATCATCAAAGGAAGCTATTCCACCCCTCCGTTTGAGCTGATTTCGTGTGTGGAGAGCGATACTGGTCATCTCATTTTCGTGACACTATTCATCATGGAAGAAAAAGTGCATTTTTGAAGGAGTCTTGCTTGGAGATGTGTCTTCTAGGCTTTGGTAGTTGATTAGAGGTAAAAAACCTCTATTTTCATGGTAGTGTCTGGATTATTTAAGTTATAAAATTATGAATATGCTTTGGTGGGAAAACATTATGTTTTAAAAAAATTTGATTTGATGATGAATCATTAATATTTTGGATGTAGGAAATAAAAAGGAGCATTGTATGTATGTAAAAAAATTAGAGAAAAATCATATGCCTTTCCTCTCTATGTTTCGGCCTTTAATAGGGTTAATAGAATTTATTGTGCAAATTTTAATTGACGTATTAAGAGGGGTTTTATGTGTGCAAGTAAGTGGAATTTGGATGAGTTAGTAAGAATGTTAAATTTGAAAGAAAATCCTTTGAAACATACCCTTGATGTTTCGGCCTTGAAGGATTTAAAGGGGCTTGAGATTCCCAAAAATTAAATTGGAACTTGGTGTATATATATATAGAGGCAGGATCCTTTGACACCGGTGTCAAATTTAAAATTTGACACCTCATCTGAGAACCGTTAGATTAAAAAAGATCAACAACTCTGATTTGTAAGCATGTGACATCATTGATATTTTTTTATCTAACGGCTCTTAGATGAGGTGTCAAACTTTAAATTTGACACCGGTGTCAAAGGATCCTACCTCATATATATATATATATATATATATATATATATATATATATATATATATATTTATGTATGTGTAGTTGTTAAATTAAGTGAGGAAAATGTATTGTAAAAGAGAAGGATCCTTGGAAATTCCCTTAAAGGATTCGACCTATAGGATGTTTAGGGAAAGATGTTGTCATATTTTATTTGAATAAAATATGTGTATTTCAAAGTATGAAAATGATAAGTCATGAAGTGAAATGGTTTGAAAAAAAATCATGGAAAAATCTATTGATTTCCTAATTATAGGTCCACAGCCTCTTAAAGTAAAATGGCATGATTTATGTTGAAAATTCTAAAGGGAATATTTGATTAAATTAAAGAATACCAATGATTATAAAGAGATCTAGACTTGTGTATTGGCATAGTATTGGAAAAAACATAAAGAAACGAAAAAAAGCGATAAAATGTATGCCTTATGTGAAAGCTAGGCATGATAACATTTTATTGATTTGTATTTTGGATTCTCTCTCTAGGTGTACCTAGGGACTGAAAAGGATCGGAATCTCTTGAAGATAAAAAAAGTTACTTGTGCCACAAGTAAGCAGATTGATAAAGCTTCAAAAGGTAAGCTCTATGTTTAAGGAGTCTTTTCCTGCACGAGTGCTCCACCATAGTTAGTGGACTGTGGTTGGAATGTATGACTGTTGATATGATACTTTGTACAGATGCATTCATATAGAGTTATTTGATAACATGATATGACTTGCTCTGATGTGATTTCTGTATTGATATATGGTACACTGATGTCTTCTTGGGGCTTCCCTGGGATTGAGGATGTACACCTCTGACATGTTCTGGTTCCGCTTGGGGTCCTCCCTTGGGAACACGTGCGTTGATTTTCGCTTGGGGTCCTCCCTTCGGAATGACGGCGCACGTCTCTGCTAGTTCCGCTTGGGGTCCTCCCTTGGGAACACGTGCGTTGATTTCTGCTTGGGGTCCTCCATTAGGAATGACGGCGCACGCCTCCGATATAATATGGATATATGCTTTGCTCTGTTATCATATCTGCTATATGTTGTATTTGTATACTCTGTATCTGACTTTCATACAGGAGTGAGCCATGGGTATGGAGAATTCTCTATAAACCTGGAGCTTATTGAGATTTGTAATCTCACCCCTCGTTGGGGCCATATTTTCAGGTGCCCAGATTCCCGGTGAGACCTCTCTAGTCAGGGACGCGACCCGTGGCTGCGGATTTTGGACGTATTGGATTTTGAGTAGCTGTAGGCTACTTCTATTTTGGAGTATAGTGCTTTCACTTAGTATTTCAGTATTTTGTGGATCATGATGTTAGATCCTTTATTTTGTATACGGCATGTATATGTTTTGTACATGTCTGTCAGTTTGATGCATGTACATTTGAGTATTCAGACACGTTATATGATGATGTAGTATTCAGATATGTTTACGTTTTGGATTGCATGTTGTTAGATATAGAGGCACTGAGCCAAGTTAAGCATGCGTCCATGGATGGGTATCTGATTATATTTGCATGACTAGTACTTCTGGATTGATGTGCTGTATAAACTGTTTATCAGGAATTGCTTCTGAGTGGGATTGGAAAATTCCCAGTTGTCCGATTTATAGAGGAAACTCTGTCCAATTTTCGTTTACGTCGAATGAGAATTTAAAAAGAAAAAGAAAAAGTTAGCTCGTATTTTCGTAAGTTAAGTCTTCCGCTGTTTCTGTTTATATATGCATGTTAATTGAACCGGCTCGAGACGGGAATGTTACACTATGACTGGTAGCATATTACGTTCGCCAATGATTTTATGACACGTGGCACACTTTCGCAGAAAAAAGTTAACATGTCATAATTCGCTACCAGTGATAGCGAATTTGGTTTGTAATATGGCCACGTGTCACGAAATCATTGGCCAAGAAATTCGCTATTAGTGGTAGCGAATTATGACACATGGCAGTCTAGTAAAAAATACTGTTCGCGTGATATTTGGATAAAAAATTTAGCAAAAAGTGACACTTTAGTCACTGGGTGTATAGGATAAATACATTTTTTTTCCTGTTTGCAGGACAAAAACATATCCTATAAAACAACTCCGTTTGAATATGTTTTAAATAAGGAGGTGTTTAGTAGAGGAGAAATTTTTTTTTAACGAAAAAAAATTATTTTTGGGAATATGATGGTAATTTTTTTTTGGGTAAGTTTTTTTTTTTTTTTTGGTAAACATTTTTTTTTTTTTGGCTACGCTACTAAGAGCCTGTTTGTTTCACCTTCTAGAAAAAGTAGCTTTTATCTCTTTCTTATTTTATAAGTGTTTTTTACAAAAGTTAAACTATTTATATTTTTATAAAAATATTTAGTTTTTGAAAAATATATTTGGTTTTTGACTTCTGCTTTTTTTAGAAGTTAAAATTTTTAGCTTTTAAAAAAAGTAAGTTTTTGGCTTTTTTTGTAACTTCTGCTTTTTCTAAAAGCAGACATCCAAACGAACTTAAAGCGAGAAGTACTTTTTTTCTTTAAAAAAAGCAGTTTTTGGAGAGAGAAAAGTTCATCCAAACGGGCCCTAAAAGATGTTTGGTAGACCAAATTTTTTCCGAGAATGTTGAGTTAATTTTACTAATGTTGTGTGTTAATTTTCCCACCACATGGAAAAAAATAATTCCACCCCTTCTATGATAATCTTCCCCAACTATTTTACATAAAAAAGCAAATGATGGAAAAAAAAATTTCAGTCATATTTTTACTTTAGCACTTGTCAAACATAAGCAAATAATTTTCTCATCCCATTTTCTTAGGAATTTTTTTTTTTTTACCTTCTACCAACACTCCGTAAAGATATGCAGTTTTATTTTTTCTTTGCCATTTTTTTATGGTTAGTTATGTATATTAGAATCCAATAATAAACAAGGGAATTTCAATGATACATGTTTCAAGTTGATCTCCAGCTTTGTTGTATTGTAATTACAGAGCATTAGCAATGACTCTCTAAACACAAGAGGTTTTTAATTTAAATTCAATTTAAAATAGGAAGAATATATGGCTCTTTGACCAATCGGAATTTTTTGAGATTTTAATTTATTAATTTGGTATTTATCAATGGGGTCATTTAATGACGTGAGGGGATCCAGCGTCACTGAGCGTCACTATCATCCCCCGCATTATTCACACTCTTTTATTTTATTTTTTATTTTTTCCAATTAAGTGACGCCTCCTCCCCTGAGGCACTCACAGGATTGTGCCAATCGACACAATCTTGTTACTCTCGTTACCATAAAACTTCGGAAAGTCATAACTTTTGACTCGGATATTCAAACCAGATGATTTTTTTTATTTCACATAACTTTTCGAGATCTTTGCAATGACACCACATTTGACATTTTTATCTCTCACAAACATAGTTCAAATATGTAAAAAAAGTGAAACTAGTGCTACACATTTGAACTATGTTAATAGAAGATAAAATATGTCAAATGATGTGTCATTGCGTAGATCTCGAAAAGTTATGTGAAATAAAAAAAAAATCATCTAATTTGGATACCCGAGTCAAAATTTATGACTTTCCGAAGTTTTACGGTAAAGTAACTAACTTTTGCACAATCCTATGAGTACCCCAGGGGTGGAGGGCGTCACTCAATTGAAAAAGAAAAAAGAAAAAAGAAAAAAGAGTGTGAGTGACGCGGGGGCATCGTAGCGGCACTCAGTGACACTGAGTGAGTCTCTCTCACGTCATTAAATGACTTCCATTAATTAATACCGTGAATTAAATATCAAATTGATAAATTAAAAGAATAAAACCTCCGAATTAGTCAAAGAGCCAGAATATATGTGACTTATGAGTTAAGATCTACGCTAAATTTCAATAAACTAGAAATATATATATAAGCCCGGCTTATTTTATAAATACGAATATCTTATAATTTAAGATATTAGAAAGTTAAAAAAGATATTCAAATCCTTAAGATAAGCTAAGTCTAAAAAATCTTACACAGTTTAAAAATTAATTTGTGAAATCAATATCTTACAAAATCATTTCTGTTCAATAACACCAATATCTTGGCTTACAATTTCATATTTAATTATGGGAATATAGTTTTTCAATGTTGTATTATCTCATACACATACCAAAAAAAAGGTGAGATTTAATTTTTTTTTCCCTCTTCTCCTTAGGAGATCTCACCCACTTTTCTATGTGTTAATATGAGAAATTATATTCTTTTTAATTATTATGCTGCAGACAAACCCCGAAATATAATGGGTGTAACAATGGGCTTTGTTTAAATGGGCTTCAATTGGGTGAATGTCAAATATGATGGGCCTGGGAGATTCCTATGTTAAAACGGCAGCGTTTCAGCTGTCGCACTCATGACAGGTCAACTCTGAGCTGGACATGAGAGTGAGACAAACAGACAAAAGAAAAACGTCTACCTATCCGTTACCGTTGTGTTAGTTCTTTTAGACTTTTTCTTTTCACAAACCGTTCAAATTTCAAAACTTTTCTTCTGCTTCTTCTTCTTATTTTTTTTCTCTTAATTAAGCCAATTAAGAGCAGCTCCAAACTCATAACACACACTGCATCAACACCCAGTTGTTGTTGCAAAAACAAGTTCTTTTCTCAAATGGGTGGTTCTGGAAGATGGTTTAAGTCACTTATTTCTCTCAAAAAGCTCTCCACGAACGATCAAGTTTGCAACTTTATTGGGATATATGTTGTTTTTTCTTTCTTTTTTTGGCATGTTTTGCTCTGGTGATGTTTTTATTTAGTATATTTCTGCTTTTTCAGGAGAAGGGTAGTGATAAGAGTAAGAAAAAATGGAAGTTATGGAGGAGTTCTTCAGAAGGCTTTGGGTGTGGATCCTCCATGAAGAAAGCGCATGGCGGTGTTGCTTCTGATAAGCCTTGGTGTTCTTCGCTTGTGGTGGATGAAGAAGCATTTGCTGCTGCAGTGGCCACTGTTTTAAGAACTCCACACAAAGACTTCATGATTATCAAGCAGGAATGGGCTTCCATTCGTATTCAGGCTGTGTTTCGAGGCTTCTTGGTAAGTAGGATTCTTCGCCACTTACCTAATTTCAAACCTTTTGCATTATCATGATGCAGCTTGTTCTGCTTTTCAAGGGATTTTTTGTTTTTTTTTTTGTTTTTTTGTTTTTTTTTTGTTTTTAGCTTTTTAGTTATATAAGAAGCAGATGGTGCATGTAATTAGGCCTCAGATACTAATAAGACATGGAATTCTAGACAAAAAAATTAGTGCTGGGTAAGATTCCAAGTTCAATTTTCGATCAGGACCTCCTAATCATAGTATGAAATTTTGTAGAAAATTTATAAATGGGTTGAATGGTGCTTTTGTTTTGTTAATTTCACTATTTTGAAATGAGTTCAATCATGCTGAAACTTCGACCTGTTAGTAACACTACTAAAGATAAGCTTTTGCTACGAGTTATGATGTTCACGTTTGCTTGGTATGGTTATTGTGGGGCTACTGTTGGACATCAAACTGCAATTTTTCTAGTTTTCTGAAATGCTCTAACACTGTGTAGATGGGTTCGTTACAGAAAGGGCCTTCCACTCTTTTGATTAGCATATTGAACGTATGTTTCTTGTGCTTGCATATTTTGTGTCAAGAAATTTTTCCACTCACTTTGTTTGTTTATTTTGACCTTATTAATGTTGCAGGCAAGAAGAGCTTTGAGGGCCCTGAGGGCAGTGGTGAGGCTGCAAGCTATATTTCGTGGTAGGCAAGTGAGAAAGCAAGCAGCTGTTACTCTAAGGTGCATGCAGGCTCTTGTGCGAGTTCAAGCACGTGTCAAGGCAAGGAATGTGGAGACACAAGGGAAAGCTGTGCAGAAACTATTAGATGAAGCTGATCCTGTTAAGCAGGCTGAGGTATCATAAGCTTTTTATAATTTACCTCACAATTATTAACATTATGCAATGTTGATGCCAGGGTGGTGTTAAGTTTAACATATAGCAAAATTTGCCATGTTATTATCAGCAAGGGTGGTGTGACATTCCAGGAACTGTGGAACAAGTTAAAACAAAACTACAAATGAGGCAAGAAGGAGCAATTAAGAGGGATAGAACAATGGCATACTCTCTCTCTACCCAGGTAATGGGGTTGAGAAGATCTAATAATATATTTGTGGTAAGAGTGAGATTCAATAGTGAAAATGATTACCAAAATATATTTGCTTTAATAAACTTTGCTTGCTTTCAGCAATCAACAGTGAGTGCTAGTCCAAATTCAACAGCTTCTAAGCCAGTGACTCCTCTCAAGCACCGCAGCATAGATAGTAAGAGCTTGTTAGAACGCTGGATTGCAGCCAAGCCATGGGAGAGTAGGTTGATGGAAGAGGTACATTTTGATTCACCTGACATGACTCCAATGTCCAGGAAAAGTGATGATCTTCTCCCCTTTAATCCATATCATCAAAATGGCTTAGTCAAAGCAAGAAGGAATGGTGTGACAACAAGGATTTCAACTAAATCTGTTAAAACTAGTCAATCAACTCCATCATCTTCTGCCATAAGCTCTGAATGCATGTATGATGATAGCCCTGTATCGACTTCATGTACATCTGGATCACAATCTCTACCATCTATCAACACTGTCATGGTGGGAGCCACAGAGGAAAGGAATATTGATAAACCAAACTACATGAATCTGACAACATCAACAAAAGCTAAACTGAAAGCTTGCAGGTGTTCTTCTCAGAATTCAAAGAGACTCTTTATGGATGATTGTCTGTCTCATAGCCCGAAAACAGACTTTCTAAATAGAGATACTAGAAGCTGTTCTGGTTCCTATCCTTCGGTTAATTCATGGAAGGATCTATATGCAACACCTCTAAGGGCAAGTTATCACAAACGATATACTCTTGGAGATAAGTAGTTGGCCATGACAATGGCTGGAATTTGTTTATTTCAATGAGTCCAACAGCTTGTTGTCACCTTAGTGAGATGAGTGTGTGTAAAAGTTCACAGATAATAGCTAATTGCTAGTGTGGAAAATACACGTGGTTTGGTGTGAAGATGAAATGGCAAACTGTTTCAATTTGTAAGGTGTGTATACACCAATTTATAATTAGTAGCTCTTTGTTTTCGGATACATTCATGGTCATAGCTGTATGTTGCACTATCTTAAAATCTAAGTACGAAATATGAGCTAACATAAGAAATATTTCCGACCGTTAAGAATCACTTTAACTCAAAACCTTAAGATATTAAGTGATGGTCTTTTTTAATACTTTATATTATTCTGTAACACTGACTTTAAGCTTTATTAAATGTTTGTATGTAAAAGATCGATGCTACACAATCTTATAAAAAAAATTATTTTTCAGACTCAAAACTCATTACCTTCCGGTGAGAAGGACTCGCCCTCGTAATATTTTCATCTCTCTGCCAACTACAATCTCTAGAACAGCTAAGGTGAGACGTTCTTGATTTTTTTTCTAAGAATTGATTTGTTATAATAACAATGTGATATATAAAACATAGTTGACTCTAATTCGCAGAGAATTGCATAGGAGTCTAGTAGCTTGTGTTAAACAGGACTGTTATTACCTTGAACTGTTAAATATCATTTTTTTTTTAATAATAATAGTAATAATTACAACTGGCACAAGATTGTTGTATTGTTCTATATCACAAAATAATGCTAGTAAAATCCGACTTCTCTGAACAAACACCTTGGCACAGATAGAAAGTAATTTGGGCTCTTAATTAGAAGTTTCAAGTTCAAACTACGGAAATAAAAAAAAAAATTGCTCCTTTAATAGGATTTGACAAGTGCTCGAACTAAATGTAAGTCGAAAGATGAATCAGTTGGAAAACTAAAAAAAAAAATCCAATTGCTCCGGTTATTCTCGTTCATATTTGAAGGATTTTTTTATAAATAAATGTTGGAAGTCGTAACAAACCCAACTAATTCATAGATTTCAGCCTCTATATTACCTTTGGACATATTAAATCTTAGAATCTCATCGCTGGACCAATTACTTTTATATATTAAAAAAAAAAATGAAGATCTTTAGCAGCAATCCAGGTGCCCATTCATGCAGTACATGTGAATATTTTATTTCAGATTGACCAATATTTTTTGTTTTCATTTTTTTGTTTTGATGCTTCAGTTGCTCAATCCCTCAGGCTTGGCTACCCAATTGTTGTTGTGCATTATAAAATTTCAACCCTGAGTTTTATCACCTCACTGGTCAAAATATTTAAAAAAAATACTAGATCTAAGGATGTTGGAACCAATATTATTAAACTCGAGTCCTCTATCCGGGTTGACCCAATCGATGAATCGATAACTTGACCGGTTTGAATTAGTTAATGGACTGATCATGCAACACATTTGGTGAAAATCAGTTGGACCCGACTAATTTTGATCAAAATCAGTGACATGATAAGTTTTTACTAATTCAGGTTATACATATTTTCTTTAAAAAAAATATTAAAGTAAAATAACATTGTTTTTAAAACAGCAACCAATTGTGAAATATCTAAGTTGCAATGCATCATTTTCAATTCACAAATACATATAAGAATTACAAAAAAAAATACAATTAAACATTTAAAGTTATAAAAAAATAAAATTGAAATGAAAATAAAAATTCTATGTAAATTGGATTGAAATTTGAAAGCATAGAACAAGGGGGAGAACTAATTTGAAATTTAAAAAATGATATTAATTTTGTTTTTTAATATTGACACTGAATAATTCTTTTTATTTTTTTCCAATGATTATGGAGAGTGTAAGCTTGAAAAAATAATATATAAAGATGCAACAGTTTTATAGTTACAAAAAAACAAATAAATCCCCATCCAGTAATCTAATTATTTGAAGAAGAGGTTGGTTGAAGATGATAATATCTTCTTCTATGTCAAAGTCTTATTATTATTATTTTTTATTTTAATACAAATTGGGGCCGAAGCCCGAAAACAAAAATTAGAACATCAAATTGCCAGCCTCTTAAGCCAGCAAACGACCCAAAACATGGGGACACTCATGATGAATCATGAGATTATCAACTGAGTCACGGGGGAGCTTTGCCGAAACGTCCGCGCGCCTGTTTCTTCTTCTTTTGATAAGTTGTAACTTGATCTCCCAATCCTTGGAGCACCAATCCTTGATACAGTTCACAATGTGGGGAGTTAACCTTGTTTCATTCCTATTGTTGAGGGACTCTATAGCCAAAGCTAGCACCGATACCGACCCAGGACACGTGACATGATACGACTATATTAATTCTAAAAAATGTTAGATTTTGTTATCAAAAAAAAAAAATGTTAGATTTCGACACGTTTTGATATTAAATAATATTTTTAATTTATGTAATGTATATTATATTTAATATTCAATAATTTTAAAAAAATGAAACTAAACTTATAATATTCATCAATTTTACAAAGAAACATAAGATATCTCAAATATTTATATTGAACTCAATAAAATGGTAATCGTAATCTAATGAATCTAATAGTTGGAACTAAAAACTCAACGCAACGCGACTTTTAAACCTTTTTTTAAATTTCTATAATACGTATTGAAGTGTAGAGTGTCGGAGTGCCAAAGCAGAGCGACTCTCAACAATAATGTGTTTCACATCACAGTCCCACGCAAATTGGAGGCCAATAAAGATAGCCTTATCAGAGTCTTATTTTGCAAATCAATCCTTGCATTTGTTACCGGACATAATTTTTGATAATTCTAAATAAACATAATTATACATTTTGATAGACAATATAGAAATTACAATAAAAAAAATTTGAGTATAGAATAAATTTATCAGAAAAGTGTTTGTCATTTTAAATGACATAAAGTTATATTATTTTAGGAGAGCGATAGACACAAGAAATTATTTTTTTATTAAAAATTTAAATTAAAAAAAATCACTCATTTTCTCTCCCATTATTTTTATTTTTTGTGTCTATCTCTCTCCTAAAATGACATAACTTATATTATTTAAAATGACAAACATAAATCCTAAATTTATACACATCTATCCGGATTGTACAGTTTAAATACCCACTTTTTTTTTAATAAGAATTAATACCCACTTTGATAAACACGTTGGAATTAATAAGAATCAATAAACCCACGTACCGAATAATCTGACCGAGTCTATAACCAGTTTGGAATTAAGGGGTCAATGTGACCAGTCTGCAACATGACAGCAGCTGATAAACACGTTGCCCACGTTGCGTCATGCCCCAAGTGTGTTTATTGATTAGCAAATAGTTAGTATAATAATTCGGTAGGTGAATAAAGTAATTATAACTGTTTTATAAAGTGCATTAAATTTGGAATTATATTTATTTTATTCAACATATAACTCATTTTTTTACACATATAATAAAAATAAGTTTTACCTTTATTTTTTCAGAAAAATATTTTCATAGTTACTGCAGATAAGTTATCTGCATTGACTCTCAAAATAACGTTGTTTTAGTGTTGAAATATTAAAAAATTATAATTATAAAAACTATTATAATCCTGAAATAAATTAAAATTACAAAAACACATTGATTTTCGCTCCAAAATGACATTATTTTGAGCTCAATGCAGATAACTTATCTGCATTAACTGCAGAAAAAATAATGATAACTTATAGGTCTCTCCAATTATTTGTATTTGTAGGTCTCTCTTATTATTTTATTTCACTAACATAAGATAACTTATCTACGTCAACATAAGAAAAAGATTTTCCTTAAATTTATTGAATTGAATAACAATTAATATTTTTTTTTTTGAATAAATGAATTTAAATATTTGTTTTTGTTTAATAAATAATTTAATAAATAATTTTTGTTTTTTTTAAATGAATTTAAATATTTGTAATCATTCAAGTATAAATGTTATATTTACAAATTTTTTGTTTACAAACTACATCATATATGTACTTCCGAAAATACATAATATAATTTACAAAAATTTATAAAAAAAAATTTGTGAACGAATCATTCCCCATCATTCAAATTGGGTGAGTACTGATATTGTGTACTGTTGTTAATTGTTTGGATGATAGAGTTATTTGTCAAAAAAATTTATTCTGTGTCTTATAAATCTAATTTTTCCGGGACGATTAATCAACATGCCTTGCTATTATTTTATTTGAAAAAAACGATCACTTGAATTCCTTCAACCTTATCAAATATTTGAATTTTTCAAAAATCACGAAAAGAAAAAGAAAAATTAATTATTAAATAATTATCATTGATAATAAATTTAATATTTTTTAATCAAATTATTTTTATTCAATAAATTTAATATTATTTACAAAATAATAATAATTGTTATTTACTATCTAATTAATAGATGTTAATTAATATTTATAATACTAATTATTATTTACATGGGTGGGGAAATAAAAATGATTGCATCACAGCACCGTGATTAAAGTGTCACTTTTTAGCAAAAATTTTTACCCACATAATAGGCGAACAGTGCTTTTTATCAGATTGACATGCGGCATAATTCGTTACTACTGGTATAGAATTACGTTCGTCAATAATTTCGTGACACGTGGCCTCATTACGTACCAAATTCGCTATCACTAGCTAGTAGCAAATTACGTCTAGTCAGTTTTTTTCTGCAAAAATGTGCCACGTGTTACAAAATTATTGGTGAACGTAATTCCCTACCCGTCGTAGCGAATTACGTCGCGTGACAGTATAATAAAAAGTACTGTATGTGACATTTAGATAAAAAAAAATTGTCAAAATGTGGCACTTTGGTAGATGTTCCTCTTGCATCACATCATCGATCCCATAGCGTATACCAACATTATTAGATTGGGTGATTAAGTTGCGGATATGAATATAATGGAAAAGATGCTTAAAACATCATAGACATTTCTCATCTCCATTTAAGGAACAAAGATTAATTAA